TGGAGTCTTACGAGTCACACAGCACTTCTGACACCATGTGTGATTCTTACTCTGAATCTGAATAAGTACGCGGGACCACTGTGTGCGGTAAGACCATCTCTTTTACTTCCTGTATTACCATCTACCGGCATGCATTGCCAGTGCGTAACACGTAATTACACAATCAAACAGTGAACACATACTGCCCATACAACAAATGTACCAGAGACAATTATGAATACACCACATGCATAACATTCAAAATAGTTTGCTCTTAACATTTTTAAGCAATTAATTTCTATCCTCATTATACATGTTTGTATTTGCAAAGATCACCAAAAAGTGACAGTAAAATCGGTTTGTGGCTATGTTAGCAGCAAGTATCACAGAATGACTTCAAATCCATTTGATACAGAGGCAAAACATAGACCATGCTAGAATGATTTGTTTGATGGATTTGTGAGACTCTGGAGTTTCTTTAAGACCACTGAGAGTTAGCTTCATGATTCACAATTTGTAACCACCTGACCCACAATCTCAACTAGAGAACATAAAGTACATCATCGTCTTTGCGCTTTTGAACCTTGAGCATTCTCTGGTACAGGTCACAGTAGTTCTGAGTAATTACACTCAGTGTTTGCTCGGAAGCTGAGGAATGGTCAACCACAACTTAGTTTACTAGGTTAGCTGCACACTCTTTCTGTTTCCTACACTGTTGTGCACTTTTACACAGTGCTTTGAGGCTACTCTTTTCTGAAGAATAGAAACAGATCGCTGTTGCTTTATTACAAAAACAGATTGATGCTGACAGTATATGGATAGACAATATTATGGCTTATATGTTTAAAATCCCTGAGCTTTTAATGATAACACAGATTCATTTTCTAATCATTAATATAATTTGTATTAATAATGAATTGGTTATGTAATAGTGTGTATGATACATTGTTTAGACTTTCTTTCTATGAGATTTTATAAACCAAATATAAGCTGTGTAGGAGGTTATTTAAAAAGTCGGTTTTTGCACATATAAGCTGGTCATTTATTTCTAACATGGATCAGTGTCCGTTTCATAGCACCTAGGATAGATTTCTTCATATTTTATTTACATTTGATGTATGGGTTTCTTGGATTTCATGGTGTCACTGATGGTAAGGATGACGAATTATTTCCTGTGCACGTCTTTTTCTTGAATTGATTACCGTTAATAATGGTTTAGGTACAGTCGCCATTGTGCTTAGAGGAAGTGCCTTGCTGATGTTGGTAATCCAAGCATCACCTAGACCACCAGGAAGTCAAAATTTTGCTTTGACGTCTTAATGTAAACACTTACTCCACCCTATAATCAAGATTCTTACTCTTAAATCGTGTCCCATGTTCAGTTAAACATAGGACATGATTTAGGCTCAGAGGACAGTTATACAGATGAGACGATGAGACAGGAAAGAAGAGAGAGAAAGAAACAGAGGCTGACGATATGGACATATTCTTATGTAGCACTTTTCTACTGGAGCACTCCAGGAGCTTTATTAAACATGCATCTTTCAACCATTCATTGAAGGACTTTTTTCTATGCTTAAGCACTTTCTATCTAACGGGGGACCTCAGGTTGCATTTTGCCTTGTTGCACATGGTTACCTGCTTAACCTCTCAGCTAAACATGTGACCCTAAATCTAAATCTGAAAATTAACCAAGACTAGAGGCTAGCGCTAACACAGACATGTAGCAAAAACACGTTGAAGCGAAGTGTTCACCAACAGCAAGGTGCACGCATGCAGTGAAAGCTGAAAGACAAAAACACAAGCTCAAAAACGGAAACCACAAAAAAGAGTGGTGTGAATTCTTTACTTGAGATGTACTTGCGTCAACTCTTCTCTTTTTTTGTTTTCCTCTTGTTTGACTTGTGCTTTTCTGTATTTTCCTGCTCTGTCTTATTCCTTTTAATTGTACAGCACGTTGGTTAATGCTCGTTATTTCAAAATGTGAATAGATTTACTTGACATGATTTCCTAGGTAACTCATTATTTATTTATATAGCATCAAATTACTGCAATAGTCACTTCAAGGTGCTTTATAGTGTAAGGTAAAGACCCTACTATACTTCAGAGAAAGCCACAACAATCAGACAACCCACTATGAGCAAGCACTCTGTGACAGTGGGAAGGAAAACTCACTTTTAACAGGAAGAAACGTCCAGCAGAACCAGCTGACGTGACCAGTTGGTGAAGGGAGGGAAAGAGGACAAACGCTTCGGCTGGTCAGACAAAAACCATTACCTTGCTTTTTTTTTTAAATATATTTTTACCTTTTGCATTTAGTGCTCTGAAAAATCTATATGAAACTTATATAATGTATCACCACATAATACACTTTTTTTCTCACACTGCACAGAAACATCAAACAGCCACCAAGTGAAGCTCACACTGAAGAAAATGCCTGAATTAACAAACCTTCCAACCTTCAAGCAGATGAGCTCAAACAAAGGAGGACACCAGGTGTCTGTCCTGTCAGCTAAGAACAGGAAACGGATCCAATAATTTGCACGAGCTAAACAAAACCTGACAACAGAAGTTTAGGCACTGACTGGTCTGCTGCTGTGACATTTGGATTGTAAGGTTACATCCATGTATGTAATTGGCATTGTAATAGCAAATTGGCCTGATTTTGGTGTAACTGTGTGGGCAACATTGTGTACCAAGAAGTACACAAGCTACTGAGCACACAAAGTGTTGAAAACATGACTTCACTGTGCTCGAATGGCATCCAAATTCTCCAAATCTAAATCCAGCACAGTACCTTTGTGATATTGTGGAATACAAAATGTGGAACATGAATGTACAGCCAAGAAATCTGGAGCAACTGTGTGAGCACACAATCGTGGGATGTCCCAAACTGTGAGTTTTGTTTACTCTCAGTCTGTGCTGCTGCGGGTTGGCTTGTGGTCCTACCTCTACCTCTCTTATATTAGCATCAAAAACATGTGAAAATCACACCTAAAATAAAGAGCTGGTCAACTGATCCAGGACAAACTCCTTTTAGTTTCTTTTTTTTGGCTTGACTTGTGTTAAGCACTGTTTAAATGTATAAATTTAGATGGCCCTCTTAGGGAAACAAAATATGACTGTTCAGTAGGCTCTAATCACTAAGTTAGCAACATGCTATGTCCTCTCTGTCTGTACAATGCTGCCATCTATTGGTGAGAAACATTCTGGTCAATTAACATTAGTCAGGATGTTTTGACTTTCTCAGCTGCCTGCATGCTAATTAGTAGAAAGGGATGGATTCCATGCAAACCAGATAACATTAGGGAAATGTTAAGGCTCTCGTATATCATAGAGTGTGATCTGTAAGAAAACAGCAAAACACTCTTGTTATCAGAGTTAAACACTTTTATATTTCTCTGAAAGTAAAACATTTCTCAGTGTCTAAAATGAAAGCAGACCTGTCCTGTTGGACCAGTTCAAAGATAAGTATTCTTCTGGATTGATGTTAATAGTTAATAGTATGCACTAAAAACTTTTAAGACATTTTATTTGTGAGTTTCTGAGTTTAAGACCACTAAAGCATATCTCTGTGCAGATGCATTTTGCACCTTTTGCAACCACTAAGGATAACTGTCACATACTCCTACCTTTAGTGTATAACAAACACCCAGTTTTCTATGTAACCATCTTACCTCCAATCAGGTAAGGTCAGGTGTTCATTTACACCCTAAACCTATTACAAACGCTAAATGAAATTTTATTCAAATAAAATGAATGGCACATGTCCTTTTTTCATGTACTTTTTAGAATTCAGAAGTTACAGTTCAAATCAATATTAAGCAAAAATGTGAACTTAAAATACAAATGGAGTAGCATTTTCAAGGAGAGGCGATCAGTCTTAACTGCAGCAGTCAACTGTCCATCAGCATCAACACACCATCAGAAAGCAACAACTCAAGGGTAATGGCAGACCAGCCCAGGAGCAGCAATATGTTTAATGCCATAACTGGTGAGTTATAAGTGAGGAGGAGCCATCATGGAAGGCCGGGGGATAGAAGAAGTTGTTGACATTCAGAAATCCTACCAATGGCTGGACAAGGCTGGACTGAAAGAAAGCACAGAGGCACAATTATCGCAGCACAGGAAGAAACTCAGTGCAAGATCCATAGAGGCAGGGGTCTATCACACCAGGTAAGAACCCAGGTGCAGACCCTGTAAAGATGCCCCTCAGACAATCCAGCACATAACAGCAGAGTGCACGACGCTAGCAGGCAGGGCATACATGAAACACCATAAAAAAGTGTAATATAGTATACAGGAAGATTATGGCATGGAAGTCCCGAGGTCAAAATGGGAGTCGCCCCTTAGTGTGGTCCAGAATGACTGAGTTAAGATTCTGTGGGACTTCCAGACACAGATGATGACTAACCAGCCGGGCATAGTCGTAGTGGACAAGCAGAGGAAGACTGCTACATTGATAGATGTACCAAACAACAGCAACATCAGGAAGAAGTAACATGAGAAGGTGGAGAAGTACCAAGAGCTGAAGAAGAACTCGAGAAGATGTGGAGTTTGAAGGTAACAGCGGTCCCAGCGTTAATCGGAGCACTCGGTGCAGTGACCCCAAAGCTACGAGAGTGGCTCCAGCAGATACCAGGAACAAAATCCAAGCTCTCTGTCCAGAGGAGTAAAGTCGGAGCAGCAAAGATACTGTGCAGGACCCTTAAGCTCCCAGGCCTCTGGTACAGAACCCAAATTGAACCTGGATGGACCCCCTTTGATTTCTTGACCTAATTCTTTATGGCATTGATTAAACAAGGTGCTGGAAACATTCCATACTGACATACTGCATGGTGACATACCATAATGACGGCATCATACTGCAAGTAAGACAGCTGTGAATCTCCCATTTCACCCCATCCCAAAGGTGCTCTAGTGGATTGAGCTCTAGTGACTGAAGACTGGGTACAGTAAGCACACTTTCCACTGGCACACTGTATTTAAAAACTCACACATGAAAGATTATTATAGTTTCAATGGTAGTTTAATTTTAACATTCAACATAAGTATCAATTATCACTCACATAATCGTGTTTTTTAAACCTAGGACATATACACGTGTTTGATTTTACAGTTATTTTCATTGTCAATAACTAATAACTGAGGTGCTTTATTTTGTTCAGAATGAAAAGCTAAGCAATCAGTATCAGGAGACGAAGATGTGCAGTGGGTAAAAGGAAACGAGGGGACAGTTAAAGGCTGGAACTGCTGTAAAAATGAGGATAGAAGCTAACAAGTAGGAAAATGAAAGGGGATAGGCTGTGAATGAAGGAGACACTGTGGGGAAAAGATAATATTCTCTTGAACATTGGAAGAAAGGTAGGGAATGAAAGGAAAATGTTCATAGTGAAGAAGCAAGAAGAATAAAAGTGTAGAAAATCATCATTTTAACACTGTTGCAAACCTTTAATAGCAGAGCTGTAAATTTACTGATGATGCTTTGCCTCTGTGTAAACAAAGCAACATTGTATAAAGTAAACAGTACAGTAGTAGTTACATCATATTAATACTTTTAATTGTGTTAGTCAACTGTGGGCAATAAGAAACTGCACAGGTAATGTATTTGTGTTCAGTTGTGTTGTTGTTTCTTGCGTGTAATCAGATTCTCTTATGTGACAAACTGACTGAAGCTGTTTTTAGTTGTGATGGTGGAGGTTTGCTGTGATCACACCGGAGCAAATTACATTTTGGTCAACAAGAGCACATAATAGTTTTTAACCTCCACCTACAATGTCAACACTCAAATTAAAACCATTATTGAATTACCAAAATCTTCACCTTTACAATAAAATGATTCCTTCCATATGCATTTTAAAGCAAATATTGGTTCTTGCATTATATATTGTTATTGTAACACAACAAATGCTCTATTCTTATAACAGAGGGTAAAACACAGAAATTGGTACGTGGTACTGCAGTTTCACATTCATCACAAAGCTATGAGGCACTTTCTACAGACAATCTTTCAAACTGAAAGAACTGCCATGTGGTTAAGGCTTTATATTACTTAATTTGAGGTTTTTATATTTCCTAGGACCTTAAAATACGATCTAATTAAGAGATTAGGGAGAGGTATACCACGTAAGGCCACACATTTATTTTGATTGTTGTTATGGACTGGTGTGAATTGCTACATGTGACACTATGATGCTTATTTATCCAAAAACAATTCAGTAGCAGCTGTTGAAAATATTGCAGCAAACCTTTTGGATTTCAACACAGGCACATCAAAAGTAGTGAACTTGCATAAATCAGCAACATTTTTCAATGATTTCTGACATCCTTATCTGTTAAGGCAAAAACATGTGACTTTGGTGTATTGTTGTTATTGAAACAGTTTGTCCTTGTTAAGCATTAATTGAATAGCAAACAGCGAGAATTGGCGTATTTGCTATTTATACCAAGTTTAACATCTCACATTGCAGCATTGACGTGTAGGTATTATGCAGGTGTGACATCACTCCATTTGTTATGGGTGTAAAAAAATACCTCGGAGCCCAACCAGCTACACTCAGTAAGTGACTCTTGAGAGAAAACTTCTTGTTATTTAAAAGGATAACTCAAAAAAGATGTCTTCCCGTCTCCACTTGTGTATGTTTTAAATCTCAGCAGTCTAACTCGAACAAGTTCAGAGTGAGCATAATGCTGAATTTACAGCATGTTTTTCATTATTATTGATTTCTATGGGAATTTCTGATTCATAACATTTTCCAATGAATAGCAGATGCCTTTCCAATTTAATGTCAAACCTTATGTGGCTCCAAGTGTGGCGTGCAACAGCAAATAAGAATGACACAATATTAGAGCAAACTGTTAAATCATCTCTGTGAAAAGAGTCTTTTATGGGAACTCACATGTGAGGATAATGTCCATTATATAGAGAAGCAGGTTAGCTAGGCACATACAGTTCGCTTTTAGCCTCCAAGAAGGACTTCAAAAGCCTGCCACCTTTTCCTTTGTGTGGAATCAACAGAGCTCTTCTTCTTCTCTGCTCTTCTCTCCCAGTGTCCCACACATTGGCACTCACATTAACATCATGCAAATACACTTAGAAGATATAAAATTCATTGGGTTAGGGTAAATATTTATATAGATTTACACATATATAAATTCATATACTTTTAAGGAATGTTAATCTATTTTGCTGTGTACTTCTTACAAGGTAAAAATAACATTTTTATACTATGCAACACATTATATAATCAACATATTACAAAAATCAGTCCTTTTATCATCTTTTAGAAAAAAAAATCCATAATAAAAATAACTTCTATGTTTTTTTCTCACTTATATCTTACAATATATTTTCTCTCTGTCAAAACACACACACGTGTCCCATTTTTGTTTCTGTTTATCGTTTCTCTTGGCAGCAAATTGGCAGCGGTCAAACAAAATGTGGAAATTAAAAATTGTGTCATGCTGGTGCTCATCAATGTGGAAAATTCTCCGAGCGACAACTTCGTTGATGTGTGGAATTCACAAAAAGGCGGCGGTGAGTGCTGCAAAACAAACTGCCGTGCTGTTACAACGGACATTTGGAGCAGCCGCATTCCAGAGCGGTTTCCATCTCCTCTGAGTACGAGGTGCCGTCTGTGCAGCGGAAAACCACCTTCCTCCGTCTGGTCTTGGTGACGCTACAGCAAACACCAGGTGAAGCCTGGCAGGATCTGGAACAGTCCATGCGGGGAATCTTGCTGGTGGACGTGCATGTTCTTAAGGGTTGGTGGCGCTTCAGCTGTTCTCTTACCATTTCTCCTTGACATGTGATTTCTGCATGTTGGTGGCGTTAAAAAAAAGCACATTTTAAATCATAATATGCTCTCATTCTCGGCAAATTTCCGTTTCTTCTTTTTATAATCTTTCAGTGTTACCTGTGTCACAAATAGGCCCGGTGAACCCTGGCTGACAGTGACAGAACGGCTCTCCCCTTTCTGACACCCGACACTCCCCACGCCCACAGCGAACCCCCCTGCATGCTGGAGGCTCCTGTCGTCGGTTACAGAACTGACCCTGATAGCCTTCATTACACTGGCAACTGTAAGACTGACCCTTGGGAACACACTGGCCATGAGAACATCTGGAGAAAGAGCAGAGCAGAAGGAAAACATGTTACAGGAGAGAATTATGCTGGGGTTGGAAAGTGGTTTCATCCATGGTTGCTTTAAAACCACTAAACCCACATGATTTCAAAATCTATACTAAACAGATACCTGGCTGGCTTGTATGACAAAATGGCATTAGAAACATCACAAACAGGTGGCAATTATTCATTTTATATAACAAACAGAAAATAAAGCTTGACCAGGGAAATTTTGCTTCTGTGTGTGGTCAAAGGGTCTGACACGAGGGTTTCTTTCATTCTCCTATCAGTATAACTTAGCAAACTAAACTAAAACTAAAACTGTTACAAAATGCACGCTTTACAGAATGTGTGCCCCTATGAGTTAGTAATTGCAAGTTAAATTCACACCTCACATTCAATGTCTCTGCCATTTTGGCTTACCTGTTGTTCTGACAGGGGTTTGTGCCTGTCGTCTGGTCACACAGAGCCCCACTGCGTCCAGGAGGACAATCGCAAGTTACTCCCGTCTCCCCTCCTTCTCTACATGCACCCTGTGCACAAACACTGCACGAATGACACCCCGCAAGAATGCCATCACCCTAGTGACAGAACATAAAATGAAGAAATCACTGTTAGAAACGACAAGCATGGAGGTAGGTGGCGCAACCAGAGAAATGTTTTGATGTTGCCTTAATGCTGCAGCCCTTCAAGGGTCCAGATTAAATATGTTTCCAAATTGGAAAGACAGCGTGTATACTTTTCCATAGCAGCTGCTGACTTTGTTGAAGTGCCTTAAAACTCATCAGACTTCTACTGTGGCTTATATTATGAAAGTGAACGCTTGCTTGGATTGGATCCTTGCTCCGAACCCAAAACAGAACACTGCTGTCATAAGGTTTTTCACTATGATTTTTTACATGGTATTTCAGCCAGATGTCCTCTTACTATTGCCAAACATAACTTTCTTTGATGATATGTTGATAGGCGAACTTACAGGACAGAGTTACGGGATTATGAGTTACAAAACCAATGTAGGCCATAGAGTTCTCAATAAAACCTTCAAGGTTTCTTAACAGCACTGAATGAACTTATAATACTTTTAATTAAATTTTATTTTAACATGCTACTGTGCGTTCTAGTAAATGCTGTGGAATCTATGCCAGCCGTTGAGTAATTACCTTGCCCTCAATTCTTTGTAGCTGTCCTGCTCCTCTGGATCTATAACTCAGGTCTTGAGGCTCCCCATTGATCTGGACATTGTGGACGCAGCCACTAAAACCCTGAGGGGATCGTTCAGGCCCTGGACGCAGACCTGAGGCCACGACCTGGGATGGCACTCCTGGGAATTGGTGAAAATAAAACCAGAAACAGACAGAAATGAGCAGTAATAACAATGGAAAGTATAGTATAATGTTTGATTAAGATATTTCCTTTATTGGTTTCATTCTGGCTTGGCTTACACTGAAATACAGTGTAAAAAACAACAAGGATACAGCATTGCAGCTCTCACTATTGCACAATAACAGTATGTCTCTCTTACTCGAGAAAAAAGGAGTTACTGTTCTCAGAGGCGTGTCTACCCTCTTTCTTGAAGAAAAGTTGAATAAAAACAGTTTTCCACTTCCTTACCACAACCCTTGCTGTGATTTAGTGTGCGTTAGTCTGCGTGCGCGTTTGCATGTTGTGTGTGCCTATACGCGTATGTACCCATGCGCTGCACAGCAAACAAGAAGTAGGGTAGGCCAAAGTAACATCTGTGTACCGCAAATGCATCGTGTTTATGAAGAAATGCGTGTGCGTACCTCCTATGTAAAGCTGGGTGTTGTGGTCGACGGAGGGCTGGCGTGCCAGCTTTCCCAGGCTCTTGTTGGTGCTGTTATCCACCACTAGGCTCAGTGAGTGGTTCTGAATAAGCAGCTCAACTGTGTGGAAAAGCCCGTCATTCACAGACTCAACGCTGTAACGAACGCACAAATGCACACAAACAGAAAAAAAAGGACATAATTTCAGTACGTGCATGATTATGATAGATTACCGTTGCAAAAACTGTTAGAGCAAATTGGAAAAACAGACCCAAAACAGACTCCAAACATTTTCGAGTCAAACTATTTTTTCTTTGTTTTGTTGTGTTTGCAAATCGACCAACCTAAATGAAAAAGAAATTAGGGAAATCTGTGTCGAAATGCTATCCCGAGACATAAAACACACTGATTACATCCTCAATATTGTGTTACTGTGGAAGGGATTATAATGTGCGCTTGATCTATTTCATGATTTCCTAACATGGGGGTTGAGGCCCAGTACTTTCTAGCAGCACATGGGCTTGTTTGTTCTGATGAGCTCAAGCCTTGGGGCAAAACCGGATTCTTACAATTTAATAGCCGGACTCAACCAGTTTGGACCATTGTGGTAAAGTTCTGATATTTTTTGGAAGAATAAATGTTTCCATTGAAGAGAAGTCTGCAAAGAACTAACATTATGACCTTTTGCACCACGTTTGACCCTGGGAGGAAAGTGTATGTGTTCTTGTGTGAATGCGTGTGTCTGAGATTCTCTGCTAAGTGGTTTTTGCTGGAGGGGAGACAGACAGCTATAGAGACAGTGGTTTGGCAAAGCTGAGAGAAGGAGAGAGAGAGAGCGAGAATGAGAGACAGGGAGGGAAAGAGAGGTAAATCGCGGGGTGGTAAAGTTGACCGTGCCTCCGCTCAACCAAGTTCTTGCAGAACATCAAAAACAGAAATGAACAAGTGAAGCTACTCTTTCTGCTGGTGGTCTGCTCCAGACTCCCACAGCGAAACATCAGGACAATACTTCCCTTTGTCTGCAACCACTTATTTGCTAACTAGCTAAGGAGCCTTAAATCAGCTGTGATTGACAGCTGTTTATAGAGCGTTCAGATTACAGCGATGTTACATTAACAGCAAATGGAGCAAAGTTTGTGAGTTCTGGATATAGGCCAGTGTGACTTTCATAAAAATGCTGACCATACAGAAGGACAAAAGAACAGTATGCATTACAACATACAGTATAACACATTAACAGGCCTTAAAAAGAATCAAGAATTTATTATCGACTCATTTGCTTTGTCTCCTCACGTGACACTGTCCTCGACAACTGGGTAAAAATTAGGAATCTATTTTTTTAACCAGTTTCTATTAATTGAAAGTGCTAATCTGAGATTTGAATGGAGGTTTTACAAGGACATGTGACTGTCCATCAACAAATGTGAAAAGCATTTGATTGTCATGACATCAGTCATGTTCAGCACGCAGCTAAAAGCTTGTAAAATAACACCTGTAGACTCAGTACAGACACATACATGGTTTCCATTAGGAACCATGTAATTTAATAAAGGCTGAGAACAGGCCTAGTAAACATAGCAAAATGATGGTCTGCTAGCCAGAAAAATCAGTTATGTACCTCAGCAGCCTCCTCCTCAAACCTAACTTTGTATTACTCTAGTTCTTTCATTTTTTGCATTACATATCATTCTCTTCTTTCCTCTTTATTCATCACTTCCTTTTCATTATCTTCTTCCCCATCCACTTCCTCTTCTCTTTTTCTCCTTTTGCTCTGCTTCAATCACCTTTCTAGCCCCAATGTCATTTAACAGTCATTTTTACCCTATTCCTCTTCTAAAGCTTATTTGCTTTCAGTCCAAAAGCTCTTCATCTCATTTTCCCCTCATTTGCTCAACTGCTTGTCTTCTTAAATTAAATGGAGCTGCTCACAAAGCTGAAAACTCTCAGATTGATGTGTTGTTTAGGAACCCTATAAACACATTTTTTTAACACATGGACATGGCAAACACAGCACTGGACTTGTTGTGAAACCAAAAATCCACCAGATGGAAGTAGCTGACTAAAGACTAGCGTGTCTGAGTCTGAGCAGCTGGCAGCGCTGCAGGTGAGTGTATGAGTTTGAATGTTACCAACATTAAACGTCCTTATTTTTTAAAGTGGATATTTTCAATAGCTTGTCCATGATTTGTGTGCCTGCATGTTTGTGAATTATTCTGCAGATTTAAAGTATATAACAGCAAAAAGGTCCTGGGTTTAAATACACTGGCCAGCTCGAGCCTTTCTGTGTGGAGTTTGCATCTTCTGCCTTTGCTTAGGTGGGTTTTCAACAGGTACTCTGGCTTCCTCCCACAGTTAGAAGACATGAATATTAGGTTAACTGATTAATCTAAATTGTAAGTAAACTATAAGTCTGAATGTGAGCAGGAATGGGTGCTTGTCCCTTGGTATTAGCTCTGAGATACATATGCATATTGTCCAGTGTGCACCCCACCTTTTGCGCTATGACAGCTCGGATAGGCCCAAGCCTGACCATTAATTAAACAGACAGTTACGAAAATGGATGGATGGATACAGTGCTTCCAAATGTGTGCACAATTGTGTATGTTTTAGACACTTCTAAAGAGCACTCTGTTAGCCCTGTGTATTAGTACAAGAAACTGTCCATTATAGAATTCAATAAAAACAAACACACAGCCGTAACAGATTGAAACTGCTTCTCTCTCTAACTTTCACTGTATTCATCCAAAGCCACAAGGGACAACAATTTCCTGTCAGTCCAAAATCCTGAATGAGCACATACACACACAAATAAACTTCACCAAAAAGAACTTCCCAAACCCCAAAACTGGCTTTCTGTCATATAACAGAGTCTAATACAAACCCAGAAGTAATTACAGGTCATTGACTTTATCTCAAACTGAAAAAACATATTTGGATTAGAAATAACCATGGAGATCCACTTACACTGTTAAATCTAATTAGCCACTCCTGTCATTTATTACGCTGTTTCTGAAGCACATTTGCTGCGTCTGTATGTGAGCTTGCAAACATGCATGTGTGAATGTTTTTTATACATCTACAAGTCTATACAACTACAGTAGTATGTAGTCTTTGTGCAATATCGAAGTATGTTCGAGTGAGCTAACTTGTTTGTGAGACTGTATGTATGTGTGTGTTAAACAGCCCAGTCTGATTACAATGATGCTCAGCAGACACACATCCCAGTTCCATATTGCTGTGGTAACCTCAATTAGCCATTACTGAGACAGCAGCTGGAGAATGGAGCACTCCTTCACTGTTTTCTTTCCTTATTTTTTCAGCTTTCACTAAACCAGGCTGGCCAGTTCAGATGAAATTTGTACTTTTCAGGAGTGAATTCGCTGCGTTTTGATGTCGAGTCTCAGGAATGAGGACTTGTTGTTTCAGGCCTCTAAGAACTCAGTATTCGAATGTCTCAATAGCCTCTGAGAATTTTAAACCTATAATGTTCAAGGATTGTCTGTCTGTTTTAACCACAGCCTTGTGGCCAGATTCAGGTCAGACATTCAGTCACTTTATTCACCCAAATGAAGGTCCAAAATCTTGAGGAAGCCCTGTATCTGAATAGAAACTGCTTGCTATGGTCACTCGTTTGTATGTATGTTTCCATACTGGGTGTATGTGATACGCTGCATATTTAAGTGAGTTACAATTAAGGAACACCTGCACAAAGTCCAACTGTTATGTTACGTTATGCCCTCCAGAAATGATTATGTTTGACATAAGCTCAAATCCATGGCCATTTATAATGCTTCTTCCATTCTTTGCATCACTTTCCCTTTTCTCTTGTTCAACCATCCGTCATCATCTTCCTTCAACACTTTACCTGTCTTTCTTCTGTCTCCTTTCTGCCCACTCATCCATTCCCCTATCCTTTTTTTTCTATGCTGCCTTTACTGCTCGATCCCTTTCTCCTTTCAAGAACCCATCCATCCCTGCATCACTCACTCTGTCACTTGCTGATGAATAACAGTAGATGTGCTCTCTTTGACCTGATGGGAGATTAGTGTGACATTTAGTAAAGGGCACCACATGAATACACAACAAACAGATGCGTTGTGCCCCGTCCCCTGCACACTGGCATGCACACACAAAGGCACACATTTTCATTTAACACTTTCATCTGGCGCTAATGAGGGCACAGTGAAAGACTTGTACACCTTCCCCTGCCTCTCCTTCTGTAGCTGCCTTCCATCTCGATTTTTTTTTTTGAACTACAAAAAGAGACATTCCCCTCTTCAACACATCCCTTGTATTCATTTCAGTTTAATTATTCCCTCTGGTTTCTGCCTCTGTATTTTTTTAGTGAGGCCTGTTGAAATTCTCCTCCTTTTTGCAGTCCTCAATTTCTTTTTCCCTTTTTTGCTGTTGATATTTGTGTTGTCTGGACAGGTTTGCTTCTGTCAAAAGGTGCATGCACCAAAAGGCATATGCAGTTCCAATACACTGTGTATGTATGTAAATGTTTGCATTTCTCTAGTATTAGCCACCTCTCTGTTTTAAAGCTAGCCAGTGGATTTTTTTTTAGCTCCATTTTTGTTATGACAAATATTTATCCCACTGATCAGTTGTGATCACTCATAAGTATGGCTAGTCGTCAACCTCTTATACCTATAGTGACCCATATTATGTAGGAGATATATAGTGGTGGTGAATAAGTGCATATAAATTCCTGATTGTATTCTACCAGGTTATCAGGGTGATACAAGTCACTTCTCACCCATCACATGGTAACCTGTGTTCAGCATTGTGAAAGTGTATATTTTAACGCTACACTTTAACAATGCTGAAATGTAACCCAAATGGCGAGTATCAAACTCAAGTCTTGAAGGTCAATGTTGTGTGACTTATTCCACGGCCGACTCTCTTCTCTCCTTCAGCATATTTCTCGAGCTGTGGAAACATCATTCATGATCAGTGAGATGTCACAGCCGTCATTAAACGAGGTGGTAACTGCATACTGAGCTTGCCACTTGGTGAAGCAGGCTGTCAGTGGGTGATATCTATGTGTGATAGCAATGCATGCATGGCCTCTTAACTAAATTACATGTATGGAAAAATACAGAATGTATAGAAAGTGATTGTGCATGTTTTATGAGGAAAGAGAAATGAAATTATTACATTTGCTATCATTTAGGTTGCACACAATGTGCTTTAATGGCTCTTAGTAATGGTTATTTTAATAGCTATTACTGTAAACTGTAAAATTTGTTGACAAATGAACTCCACAGGGGACCTTACACGTAATCTGTAAGAATCCACAGACGGACTGGTTTCTCATTTAACACTGGTCTGTGTTATCTGGCCATGACTGCTTCATTTCAGCACACTGTGCCAAACTGGCTTGAACATATCGCCCAGGCTCTCTAGTTTCTTCACAAGATAACTAACCCAGGGATCACTCAGAAACATCCCAGGGACTGGCACTGGTTTCTGGCGCTGGCTGTACAACCGCTGTATAGTCAGTGCCATATTTGGGATCTGCCAGAATTGCTGTGCTAAGATTGTGGTGGTTAAACAGTTACGCCATTCTGGACACTATCAGTTCAGTGGTGGCAGGGTGTTTTGTGGTGCCTGCCCAGCCATGTGGTTTGAATTAGTTTACAATGTATTTCTAAATTAGGGGAGATAAGACAGACCATTTGAAATAGTCAGAGTCATGTAATCAAAAAATGGCAACGCATAGCAGCTTGTGGTAAAATAAGCCTCAGTACTGGAGTTCTGCCTTGTCTCCTTTCAGAGACAGTGTTTACTGAGAGCTATAGCATTGTAGGCTTAGACACGACTTCATTGTATGGATCTTTGTTTCATACTCTGTCACTCCCATATCCGGATTTGTTTTTTCCCATTTGACACTATTTTTTCTGCTTTTTATGTTCTTAAAGTACCGGTATACGTTCTCTCTCTACCCTGTCGTCATCTGTCTCTCTCCACTTTTCTCAGTTGTTCTTGCACTGTGTCTGTCTGTTTCCCTTCCAGGCGTGGCCCATGTCAAGTTAACAAGACCAGACAAGGATAATTCCCTGACTCAGTCTGTGGTTTGCTTTTTCCCTCTGTTCTTCGCCCTCTTTCACTCCATCCCTCGGTCATCCCTCAGTCCTCTCTCATCCATCCTGCAGTTCAGCTGCATTACATGGTCTTTTCATTTCGACGGCTTCCATCCATCTGTTTTACCCCTTCCGTTTTCCTCCTTTGGCGGGAAATGTATTCTACTCAGTTATCTGTTTATTGTGTCGTCTGGTCTTTCATTCATGCCTTCCATCCAGCATCAGTCCATCCATCTGGCTTTCTGGGTCTCTTTCTATCGTTATCAGACTGTTAGCTGATCAATCTGTCTTTCTATGCATCTGTGTGTCTCTGTTGCTGTCCCCTCTCCTAGTCAACCCTTTCAGCCCTGCCTCCATCCCACCCCATCTGTGCCAATATCTAATTAGCTTCATCCCATCATTTTCAGTCTTTCATTTGATCCTTCCTTCCTCTATAATGAGCCATTCCTCTTGTATTCTCCTTGCTTTTCCCGATATGTCATTCATTGTTAAACACAAGCACATATTCTTTTTAAGGTCATATTTGATATATGTGGCTTCCACATGTCACCCTACCCAAAAGAAACAGAATAGCACCACAGAAATCAAAAGATTATACAAATGTCAACAAACAAGTCAAACATGATAGTTTAGTAGGTTTTTCTTTCCAACCAAGAAAGAACATCTTTAAATAAAGGGCTGCAGCTCTGAAGCTGAGCTGAATGCCTAACTGTACTGGTGGAGGTCTGGAGCAAAGTTGATTACTATCAATACATGAGTCTTCTGAACAACTGCTAAATATATAACACAGCATCTCTATTGAGCTATGGCCCTCTGTGGTAAAGGCACAGCATGGAAGAAAAAACAAAACAAAAACTGAAAGATATTGTCCTAAAGGCAAATTCTGATTTTCCACCCAAATGGCGCAGATTGTATACAAGGTTTAAATCGACCCAATGTTTATCACATTGCCTAACCCATATGGAAATCGCATCTGATGAAAAACATGCCATCATATCAGTAGATACAAACACCAAATGTCATATAAATAAAGGAGCATATATTGTCTTTAACAATTTAACTCTACTACAAGCAAAGACTTTCTTGCCTTATTTTGAGATTTAAAATAAATGTAATTAACATCTATCAATTTTAATTTATATAGAACCTGAATTTCTGTTTTTCAGAGAAAAGCAAATCTAAGTTTGTCTAATGACATAGAAGCAAATCAGGCAACAACAACAACAACAATAATAATAATAATAATAAATGTTATTTATAGGCACCTTTAAAGATCCTCAAGGTAAATTTACATTAGTACAACAAAATAAAAACATGAGGAAAATGAGAACTAATAAAAAAGTACGAAAGTATAAAAGCTAAACAATAAACTAAAGTCAATCTGTATGCAGATTTTACTGTAGGTAGATTATTCTGAACAATTCCTACAAAAATTTGACGGTGTAAATGATTCAAATTTGAAATATCTGATGCAGAGCCAGTCTTGCCCTTGACCTAGTAAACTGTGGCTTAAATTTTCTTCTCCTTGAGTTACTTAAGGGATTTGTAGTATGATGTAATACCTTAATCTTAAACTTAAATTCATTATGAGCGGGCTGCATATTATCAAAAGACCACAGTCTCCTTTTCTTATGACTTTGTTTTTATCCAGAGAAAGTGTGAAAAAAACCCACAAAGGAAGAAAATCACTCAGAATATACAGCAAGGAGAATGAAGAGTGAATGAGAACCCCCCTTACACACACACACACACACACACACACACACACACACACACACACACACACACACAGCCACACTTTTATACACTGTAATAAGAAATAAAAGTCTAACAGTATTGTATTTGGATTAGCAGCGTGGTGGACTCACCCTACCCTGTGCAGTAAACACTGTCTATGTACAGTAAATATCTGGTCTAATATATGGCGTTTCATTACAAACACCCACGAGCTGTTTTTGATATTATGTAGTAACATAAATACACATATGTTTGTGCTGATGAGCCCACGTTACAACTTGTATAAGATTCTCTGTGTGTTATATATCCAAAAACCACTTGAGGTAATATTGTATGCAGTTTTTCATATTGTAATTTTGACATTGTATTAGCCCTTTCTCCTCGTCTTATATGTGTATGAAATAAATCTATGGATGACATCACCCTCAGTTTATTTTACAGTGCACCCTGTAGCCTTCAGACGTGGAGTTGAAAAAACTTAATTGGCACTTAGTAAGTTGTGTAACAACAGCTTACATCACTAATACTGCTTGAAACAGGATACACTATTTGACGTTGCTTATTTCAGGGTTGCATTAAGTGACTGCTTATTGTATCAAGTGACTTATTATTTAAACATTTGAATTGAAGTTTATGACTTGTGTTACAAAACAATGCACATCTTATTTCAGTTGGATAAAGCGACCAAATATAAGTATAATAACACTAAAAGGCCTCACAAAATTGTTCTATTACTGCTAAGAAAATGTTATCATGTTCTTTTCCTTGATGATCTTTGTTTTTTCTTATGGTCAATACTATAAGGGAATTTTTCTAGAAATTATGACGCACTTGCTGTTTTTGCAAAAATATGTAGGCAGATTTGTGTGTGGATGACTAAACCACTGAAATCCATTTTCTTGGTGACTTTAGTTTTGTGTATGTGTATATATGCATATTTTTCTGTTATTTTTTTTAATCACTTTGAATCCCTGTAATGTTTATCGAGTGGCTGTAAACTCAAAAATATATGTCTATGTGAGTGAATGCTTTTTGTAATCTTTAACCTACTGTTTACTCTTTGAACCTTAGTAATTGAATTCTTTTTCATCATGGTTTTTTGGGGAAGGTATGCATCTATGTGCTTTTTATTTTTCAAAGTGTGCTTTTAAAGTAATTTGAACCTACGTATCAACACAATGCTTGTTTTAACTTTAATGGAATGTAAAACCAAAATCATTTTAATTGATGCATTTCCACGTCGGAGTAAATTCGATAATAAGTCTGCTTACATTAGCGAGATAAAAGTGATAGAATAGTGGATGAATCTTTATTCTCTCATAGGTACTTAAGGCATGCTTAAACTTGACCTTCATAATGATTCAAATAAGTGAATGTGAATTCTAAGAATGTGAAGGACAGCTTTTCTGTTTTATGTGGCCTACCTGTACACAGTGGTTGGTGGGTAGTTGGCGATGTCGTAAATAAGACGTATGTGTCCCTGATAAAGCTCAATTGCCAGAGGATCATGGTCCTCCTTGTACAACAAAATACCGTTGTCTTTGTCTGTAGCCACCTGGAGAGAGAAAAACGTTGGACACAAAAACAGCCGTCAAAAATTACAGAATTTGATACACAGTCCACAGTTTGTCATATTTTTCATATTTCATTTAATTCAGTAATCATCTGGTAAAAGGTCATAGTGGCACATATAGAAGGAAATAGACCTGAATTGTTCATTTTTATTTAGATAAAAACAGGGCTTGTGTGCATATGACGCTATAATATCTGTGTGTATAACAACATATATAATAGCATCATGTGATGTTTCATTACATCATTTAAGCAAATCAACTTCAAGTTAGCTAGTAAGCTAACTTGCTAATTTAGCTAACTAGCTAAGATCATCTTAGCTATTTTAAACTTGTTTTACTCAAGTGATGTAAGTGAGGTTTTTTCTAGTAAAACAAAATTATGTCCCCTGTTCAACTATAAAACAGATTGCTCACTGCTCCCAAACGTACACAAACTTGAAAAATATTGACCTCCAGACCTCAGAAATGATCTACTCTGTGAAAAGCTAATACTTTGCTTCAGTTAAGATTGCTGATGCATATCTGACTCAATATTAAAGCAGGTTAAATGGGTGTCTGATTTACGATGGTTATTTTATACCATCAACTGTAAACCATTTAAAAAGAAAACAAATTCCACCACACTTGTCTCAGAAACACACTTGACATGTCACACTTGCTCGCGTGCTCCTTTAAGCGCTAACTAACTAGCAAGTGGAAATGGGGCCATGGGGCCAAGCACTTAACACTCTGGCGTCAATGGAGCATAGCCAAGTCAACACCTGCTAACAAGCTGCTGGAAAAAAGAGAAAGCCATGCAGGCCAAAAAGAGAAAAAGGGGGTAAGAGGTGTAAAGTACAAAGAGTGAGAGAGCAAGTGAAGTGGAAGAGGGAGGAAAGAAGAAGATGCATATATGTGGATGAACAGAGAATTTGGATGCAGCCTTAAAGAAAAGAAAAAAGTGAAAAAAGGAGAAGGAAAAAAGCATATAGTAATTTATGAAGTGCAGTGGCTCTTTCATTCTTCTATTTCTCTCTCTTACCACTGACTCAAGGCCTCTTGGTAGAGTTTTAATAGCCTTGGCCCTGACATTGAAAAGTCCTGGCAAGAACGCAAAAGCACATGCACACACATGCACAAGCGCAAGCCCCCATGGTGGTAAATATCAATTAAACCACCTTCCTCTTCCTGTTTCTCTTTCTCTGCCTACTTTATTTCTCATTTCAATAAAAAAGAAAATTATGTGTCCATTAGGACATGACTCTCAGGTGTCCAAAATGTGTGGTCTGTGTGAGTGTGTATGTGTGCGTGGGCACGGTGCTCAGTGTGCCATGGAAACAGAGGGTGGAGCAGATGTTGGCTTTGCTTCATCTGCACTAACTCTATAAGCTTGATTAGAATGTCTCACAGCTCTATTTCAAGCGGCACGGAAATCTTTTAAGAGGAGTGCTACAGAATATAGCCTTTGCACCTTTGGGTTTATTTCAAAATAAAAGCTGACTGTTGGATTTGTAAACCTTGAAAAACAAAAATGAATGCACAGAGGTCAAAGGTTAACCCTACCTGTAACGAAATATGTGCAGTTGGGCGGAGTTTTGCAGCTGGCAGCTCCACATACCCATCACGACCCAGGAAGTGAACAGTGGCCATTTTGTCGCATTTGCTGCCATAGAAACCGGGCATGCAGCGGCAGATGGGCTCCCCAGCAACCACCAGGCACTGGGCGCCGTTTTGGCAATCGGATTGGTCGCAGGGGCTGGTCTGCAGCAAGATCATTGGTGGCGGGTTCTCACAGAAGAGCCCGCTGAGGCAGAAGTAGATTAAACAGAAGATAACTTATTTATAGAGCGTTAATTGGATGATTTGTTTATCTCTATTATGTGACAAAAGTTGTTTACTACTTGTTTTGTAATGTGTCTCTTTGAATTACACGAGGAGATTGCAGTGGCTAAAACAGAAAGCTAATAATCTTGAAATATTGAATCGGGGACCTTTCCTTCCAAACAGATTCAGTATATTTTCTTGTTTTCACCTGGATCATTCTGAATCTGTGAAACTTCCTATTTTTCCCGTACAGTCATTTTCTAATGGCTCTGTCTTCCGTTCCTTTCCTTTTCTTCTGCATATCCATGACTTTCTCTCTGTTTTTCCCCCCCTCAGCCACTGATGATGAATTTGTTTCTCTCTCGCCAACAGTCCCTGCTATAATTAACCACATGGTGCTGCATCTGCAGCACACACACACGCGCAAACACACAGATGCACGCAGTAGGTCGAAACAGTCAAGTCTCTGATTATGAAGTGCCATCTGTATCCCCTCCCAGTCTGGCCCTCCAGTCTTTCACTGTGTTTGTGTCTGATTTGTTTCCATGACTCTCACCTGAAACCCTCTTTACAGACGCAGGTATAGCCATTGACGGCGTCCACACACTCCGCTCCGTGCTGACACTTGTTCTCCAGACAGTCATTATAGTCCTGCTCGCAGTGCTGGCCCACGTAGCCTGGTAAACACTCACACCTTGAGTGACATGGAAATAAGGATAAAATTACACAGTGTGTGGGCAACAGACTTTTCCTCTTGCCTACAAGTGTTTTACTGCATGAAGAGGTGACATGTTTGGTTCGTTTCTACAGCTCAGTCAGTAACAGAGCTCTACTTTTATACCATATTTTCCCATTTCTCATGGATAAGTGTGGGAAATGTTTGTGTAAAAATATTTTTATATCAGTTCCACATTCGTAAAACATTATCCACACAGTAATGAGGAACAAACAGAATCGGCATTAAGTGAACACTTTTTAATGATCTTAACTCACTAATTAATTTAGATACTTATGAAATTATTATAGATCAATGTGAAAGGATTCTGCAAGAAACATTAATTTAGGCTATTAAAAAACAAACCTTTTCAACATGGAAGCCTTTAATCTGATAGCATAATAATTCATTATTTATAATTTATAAAAAGATTGATTTTAGGTTTATACTGTATAAAAGGTTTAAACACACAAACGTTCAGTGTAATATAACATTTCCCCCTAAAAATGCTTTCACTTGTATCACAAAAAGCCAGCTTTAACATGGTGAGCTCGCTGTCACTTTCACAAAGTGTTTTTCAAGGATCCCCCAAATGTAACTGTTGCCCACCTGTAACCGCGGCCAACGCGAAGGCACTTGGAGTCATGCTGACAGGGGTCAAAACCAGGGAGACAAGGGTCAGTAACCTCGTCACACAGGTCACCTGATGAAAAAGAAAACATTTGCTGTCAGCAATTTAGAAACTGTGAGGCTTAATCGTATTTTAGGCTTGTGTTTTATGCCTGCTGCATCATCACTGAATGATCTGAATAAATATTTTCAGAATTTATGTGGGGGAAAAACTGTGAAGGTAAACAGAAAAATAACACTTCAGAAGAAAGATGGGAGTAGGGGGGCACACTAAACTTTTCACACATACTCTCTGTAATCTTCAAATAGCAGTAGGGGGGGGAAAGCATCCTGGTCAAGGCTTTAGATGTGCTGTGGATGTCCTCACGCACAAAGGGAATAGCGCTATCAGCATTTTCTCAGACCTGACAGAGAAGGGGGTTAATGCTCTCTGTAAAAGTGGAGGCGGTCTAAAGATGTACACACACATACACATGCTGAAAGGGTGAGAAGGGTTAACAGTGTGTTTAAAAGCAGTAGTTGAAGTTAGTGGTAGGAAGGAAGCGGGTATTGAGAAAGGTCAAGCACATTTCCATCATTCTCTGCCTGCTTTCATCTAATCCTGCTGCCTTCCCGCCCTGTCTGTCTCCAATACCCTCGCCTCAAATCACTTTTAGGCACAGGTTTTTTGAGCTACAGTACACCGCAATTTCTGAAAGGATGTTTGACTTGTAAAAAAAAGAAAAGAAAAAAAAGCATGCTGTGAAAGTAAATTTTAATTATTCAGTCTTTGAGCTCCCTAAGCAGACAATTTCACACTTTAGGCACTTTGTTAAAGATGCCAAAATTAATTTATCAATGTGGAATTACCTGAAATACCTTAGAATAATTATCATATGCAAATGAAACTGTGCTACAGAAAAAGATGTTAGGCATGATTTACCTGATTTAAAATCATTTTACACAATAATATGATCATATGAGAATTGTGGGAGATTTTAACAGATATAAAGACACAAACTGTTGACACTACATCCATGCAGCTTGGTTTATCTTCCACCAAGGAGGGTAATGAAGTGAAGGTATGTGATATTTGTGCTTTAGTGCTGCTTATTTCAGGAACAAGGCATCAGAGGTGGAAAACTGGGGACATGCAGAGTTCCAGAGCAACATATCTGGACATTGTTGCGAATTTTCTAAAACACTGATTATCTTGTTGCCTTTTTCACACCAAATTATTTAATACTTTCTGAATTGCAGTTTTTTTTTAATTTCACAAGGGATTAATTATATTTTCTTGTGACCTCCTGACCTTTCCTCCATCATCTGTCTAAAATGGATTTTTTACCATAATCAAAATGCTACTGTGACATTTAAATTGTTGAGCACGTTAAAGAAACCTTAAATCAGCTGTTTCAAAGGTCTTATGACATTAAATCTGGATTTTTCTCTCTGTGTTGCAAATATGACGTGACAGTCCTGGTTGCTGAGTTTGGAGAAAGGAGAGTGACTAGTAAAGTACTGTCCTCTTAATGTGACACCTGATGATTGCGCTGCGGTTCACTGAGCTAAGTGGGGAGTTCGGTGCCAGAGGAACCAGCTGTGCGCATGAACGTGTGTGTTTGTGTGCAACAGCTGTATGTGGTAAGGTGGCTGGCAGTGTGCAAGGACTCTGAGAGCCAACAACGATAATGACATGGTGTGTGTGCTGCTGAGTGTGTATTGACTGAGGTTCAGTGTTAAAGGGGACCTCGTGTTTGTGTGTGTGCGTACGTGTGTGTGTCTTAGAGGACACTGTTACACACAGAAAAACTTAAATTCAGAGTCAGCAGTTTAGCTTCAGCGTGCCGGACTCTGCCAGGGCAGCTCTCGCTCCTCTCAGCCTTTGCCCTTTATCGGCAATTTCTTTACCCTTTCCGTTGCTCTGTTTATTTTTCCCCTTCCCTCTAGTACACAGTCAATCTTTGCCATTTCACTCTCATTCTCCTTCTGTCTCCCTCTCATGTGATTGCTCTTTAAACCTCCTGCAGGAACAGTTTCAGGTCACTGCAGAGAGCCTGTCAATTACTAACTTACCATCCAGTAAACTGGAAAATATGATTTTGTAAGTGTGGGACTTGGTGACCCTCCCAGCCTCTCAGGGGCAAAGACTGAGGGTGCATTATTGAAAGTTTTTGTGTGTTTGTGTGGGTGTCTACCTGTGTAGTTTGGAGGACAGACGCAGGTGTAGTTGTTGATCCCATCGATGCAGGTGGAGTTGTTCTCACAGTCGTTGTCTTCGCAGTCATCTGGGTTTATCTCACAATGTTGGCCCTCAAAACCTGGCGGACACGCACAGCTACACATGCAAAAACACACAAAATGTGTATTATTACCTAGCAACTGGGCAAGATCTGAGGACTCATCATCAGCTCCTCGTAAATGCTCCTGTGAGAGAAGTTTAAAGAAGAACTATTGAATCTGTAGTTAATATTCTTACATCCTTTTCATTTAGAGACTCCACTTCATGTCTCATTAAATTCCAACAAGTTGCAGCTATTCCTGCAGCACACATACTTCCTGTTAATCTATTTTCTGCGATAAAGATTAGGGAGAATCAATCCTCCCTTTCAAACACAGCCTTTTGATTTATGTCATCTCTCTTTCCTGATGGGAGATGTTTTATTAATAAATATCAGTCAAAATTCCTCAGGCTTCTACTGAGGTGAAAGGAAAAAACTTTAAAACAAAACACCCACCTCCAGCTAAAAGGAAGAAAAAAACAAAAGAGAACAAAAAATGCTGAGATACGCTTAGTTTGATGCCACTACGGTTGGACGCCGCCCACCTGGACCACTCAAAGGGAATTATCAAAGCTTCCTCCTCTCCTCCACTTCTTTCCCTCACCCACCTCTTTTCTCGTCAGCCCTTGATCTCTTCCCCCTTTTCACCCTTTGTATCTCAGTCAGGATAACTCCTTCAAACAGATCACACTACCTTTAGGTGAAGATCACTCACCCACACACAAACACTCCAAGTCTAATAAATCCAACCGCAGCTGCCTTTGACAACTCGCCCTCTCTCTCACGACTCTCTGTTCTTCTGTTCATCTAGACATGATTGATTTAAATTACTTTTATTGGGAAAAACTGAATTTTACATTAAGTTCACCCAATAAATGAAGCAAGAGGATAGCTGCTTGTCAGTGACAATTATCAACCCACACAAACCCATTCACTCGTTTTTGTGGCACAATGCTTTGTCCTTCCCACTTTTTTGTACATACAAAATGTGTTTAGTTCTTTCTCACCGCTTTCATTTCGCAACAAGTGAAATGAAAGCTTTGGTACCTACAGTAAGGAGTTTTTTCTCATGTATCTCACAATACTCACTGGTTACCACCTCCCTATCTGTTTTCCAGTTTAGAAAACCTGCACTTAAGCCTTCACTCAAAATGACATAAAATAAATTTATATTCTAAGATATAATGAGCCTATTATTGCAAGTTGTTCAGGCTAAAATATTCAGAAAAATGTGGGATACTTATGCAGCAGAGACAAAGGGACCACTCCCAATCCAGATGACTTAATGAAGCAGAAGAAGAGAAAATAAAGGAAAAATAAAAGGAGTGATGAAGTAAAAAGAAAGGAAGAAGATATTAACTGTTCCCCATGAGAAAAAAAAAGAAATAAAAATGCAGAAACCACTGACTGGGTCAAGGATCACCGTTTCACCAATCAAATCCAAGTCCTGACATTTAAATGATATAGTTTGACAAATGGAGCTGTGCTAAGAACCAAAGTTAATTGGACTTCCTGAATATGCGTAACTGATTATATAACATGTTAAAATGTCAAAGGGGCATGGTCTCCTTCCCTTACTGTCTTTCTCCCTTTATTTCTGTCTCTCTCAGAGGTCACAGGGATCTACCTGTGTTTCTTTACCATTAAGGAATCATCTGAAAAGGGTAAAGAGACCCCTAATAGCATTACCACACGAGCCTTTAAAGGCCAGAAGCATATCAGAGCTTTTCAAAGGGCAAAGGCCTTGTTACTGGGGTTGAGAAGGAGACAAATCTGGTAGAAAGATATATGACAATTGTTGCAATTACAGCCGCTGTTTGTCACAAGACTTGGACAAAGGGTGACGTTTTGGAGCGGCACTGATTACCCGGGCAGGCACGGTCGAGGATTCTCACACACACACAGATTGCATTTGTTCTACCATGGGCGGTTATTAAGCAGGAAAATTGAATTTATATTCTAAAATATAACAAATCCAACTAGCAAGTCTCAAAGACTTCTTAAGTGAAATATAGTGTATTTGATGCGGTTTGATTCAATTTAATGGTGAAAGGGCCGTTTTGCTTAAAATGAACCACATTAAAAAGTCATACCGCAAAGGGTCTGTTTTTAATTAGTCCCATTTCTAAACAATTGTTGGCCGTTTGATTACTTTTGGTCTGCGGCTTGTGCCATAATTTTCAGCACAAAGTAACTCTGGCCTTAGTTTTTTAGTCCAAATAGGATTAAGATTATAGGGGACATGGAAGGCTTAAGGAAGCAGTTCTCAATGTTTTAGGTCGTAGCAATTTAGTATGCTTAAACAATTCTGCAATGTAACTTTCAATATTTCAAGTTGCGTGCAAAAGTCCAGGAGTAAAACATCTGCTTTGAGTGTTATCCACCCATTAAATGAACATTATCCACTGCAGTTAGATATGTCTAGCAGGTGCCCTCTTGTAGCCATCTGTGGGTCAGAAGGTGTATTATCATTTATCTAATTATTGCTAGAGGTAGAGAGATTATATAGGGCATCTTTGGGTCAAATAAAACGTCCACTGGACTCTCTACTCTGGTAGGTTAGCAAGTACAGCTTTCTAACATGCAATACCTTTCAACCAAAAAAGTAACAATATTTCTTTCCTAACACTAACCAAGCAGTTATTTGGTATGTAAACTAAACCAATCAGCAAGCAGTTGTTTGGCTTAGTAAAAGTCTAGTCTCCTGGGTAAAAACTTAATTTACTTCATATGTTGAAAAACTCATCATCTATGTTTTCCTAGCATAACAACAACCACTAAATGAGGTGATAACAGCCTGTTGAACATACTAGTTGGCAGAGATGCGATCGCATATTCAAAAAAAAAAAACCCAAGAAGATCAGGTGAGGATAATACCCTATATTATCAGAATCAAAGTCAGAATAGTAATTAATCCCAGAGGAAATTATGTGGTCACATACACACAATGATGGCAACAGACACCCTTCTTTATGATCTGTTTCTCACTGCTGGAAGTACTCTGTTTGGTTTAGGCTTATGCTGCTTGAACTGAGGGTGCAGAAGGCAGCACAGCTAATACACATTTGCTTGCTGTGAATTCTCTGGACAATTACCTGTGCTATTCTCCTATGCATGTAATCAGAAATTACACAGACTTTCTACTAGAGAGTTAGTAGGTTAAAAACCCTTTGACATTACACATTTGCGTTCTCACCTAACCTGCACCTCAGCTGCACCGCATGTGCAAAAACAGGTTGCAATTCTGAATGTGTTGGGAAAAGATGGGTGGGGAAGTGAATGGGTGATGCACAATGTTATTTTCCCTAAAGCACTGCCACTGAAAGGCTCTTGACCACTGGAGTTGCACTGCAGCTAGGATTCACACACTATGATTGTGTTGGGCAGCTCCTGAGTCTAAATATACACTCAACAAAAATATAAACGCAACACCTTTGTTACTGCTCCCATTCCCCATGGGATGGACGTAGAGACCTAAAATTCATTCCAGATACACAATATAACCATCCCTCCCAAACAGTGGTCACAAATCAGTCCAAATGTGTGGTAGTGGGCACATCTGCTATATTGAGATAATCCATCCCACCTCACAGGTGTGCCACATCAGGATGCTGATCTGACATCATGAGTAGTGCACAGGTGTACCTCAGACTGCCCACAACAAAAGGCCACCCTGGAATGTGCAGTTTTATCTCACAGCAAAATGCCACAGATGCCACAAGCAATGAGGGAGCGTGCAATTGGCATGCTGACAGCAGGAATGTCAACCAGATCTGTCGCCCGTGCATTGAATGTTCATTTCTCAACCATAAGCCGTCTCCACAGGCGTTTCAGAGAATATGGCAGCACATCCAACCGGCCTCACAGCCGCAGACCTCGTGTAACCACACCAGCCCAGGACCTCCACATCCAGCAGGTTCACCTCCAAGATCGTCTGAGACCAGCCACCCAGACAGCTGCTGGAACAATTGGTTTGCACAACCAAACAATTTCTGCACAAACTGTCAGAAACCGTCTCAGGGACGCTCAACTGCATGCCCGTCGTCCTCATCGGGGTCTTGACCTGACTCCAGCTCGTCGCCGTAACAGACTTGTGTGGGCAAATGCTCACATTCGATGGCGTCTGGCACGTTGGAGAGGTGTGCGCTTCACGGATGAATCATGGTTCACATTGTTCAGGGCAGATGGCAGCTGAGAATGTGCCAGTTCTTGCATGGCCAGCATACTCACCGGACATGTCACCCATTGAGCATGTTCGGGATGTGCTTGACCGGCGTATACGACAGCGTGTACCAGTTCCCACGAATATCCAACAACCTCGCACAGCCATTGAAGTGGAGTGGACCAACATTCCACAGGCCACAATTGACAATCTGATAGACTCCATGCGACGATGTGTTGCACTGCATGAGGCAAATGGTGGTCACACCAGATACTGACCGGTTCTGGGTCCCCAGACCCCCAATAGCGCAAAAAACTGCACATTCCAGGGTGGCCTTTTGTTGTGGGCAGTCTGAGGTACACCTGTGCACTACTCATGATGTCAGATCAGCATCCTGATGTGGCACACCTGTGAGGTGGGATGGATTATCTCAATATGGCAGATGTGCCCACTACCACACATTTGGACTGATTTGTGACCACTGTTTGGGAGGGATGGTTATATTGTGTATCTGGAATGAATTTTAGGTCTCTACGTCCATCCCATGGGGAATGGGAGCAGTAACAAAGGTGTTGCGTTTATATTTTTGTTGAGTGTATGAAAGCGTATGAATGTAAAATAGGAAGGTTCCTGAAAATGAAGTAGCATGTTCAGCATGCTTTGAGAAAGTGAAAACATGAATATAAGGATCAGATAAATAATGGATAACCTCCTTGAATTATCCATTCCTCCATTTTCTTAACTATTCATACAATTTAGGGTCGTAGGGTCATGGGGTGAGAGACACAGTACAACTGGATAGAATCTAAAGTATCAAAAGTGGCGTCAGTGTCTTGGTCAAACATGAAAAAACACATTTTCAAAACCATCCCTGGTTTAACACCAAATTCTTCCATAGCCTCATTGATTTTTAGTGCAAAACCTGCCAGCTACACAAGGGTTTGAAAGCAAAACTAGAGCTGCGCTGGTGTAGTCAAAGTACTAAAGCTGTCTTAATTAAATCTTACTTAAATGCAGATAAACTCTGAATTCTCCTTGTGTATTCTCCTAGTGGTTCATTAGTGGTTGCTCGAGGTTGACGACAGTCACAAGGTGAAATTGGTGCTGCACCTCCTTACAATTTGGTCGCGAATAGTTTACAGTGGCGGTATAAAAAATACCCCCTTGTCTGCAAGTTCGTCAGCCAGCAGACCCCAGAAACCAGTCGTAATTTTGAGACTAACAACTGGTACCACTGACAAAACTTCCACATAGCATAACACTTAATAACAAACACCGTTGTACCTGAAGTGGTCTTCATGGCCAGGATGAATGTGGCAGGTTCCTCCATTAGAACAAGGAAAGCTAATGCAGGCATTGATTGGTATTTCACAGTCTTGACCCTAAAGGAGAGGACAAGACATGGCAAAGCAGTTAATAACTGAATATTGTGTCTTCTGTTACTACTGGAATAAGTGAAGCTGTCATCAAACTTCTTCACTAGTGACATAATTTTACTGTCCGGCACATTACAGTTAAGTGTTCTTAATTTTATTTAAATGTATTTAAATTGACCACTTGGGAAAAGACAAATGTATGTAACTATATATATGTGTATATATTTATATATACATTATATCTAAATATATAGTTCCACTGATAAAGTTCTTTTTACTATTTATGTTGTGCTCTTGTAGTTTTTCTTTTTAAGGACAACATATTTTTAAGGTGTAGTAAAAAAAACAAACCACAAATGTAGTGGACATATTCATAAAACATGTCTACTTCTTTGATTCATTACTTTTCCTGGTAAGAAGTTTCATTCATCAGAGTCCTAAAACCTCTGTCAGCCAATATACCCACTTGTTCTGATCAAAGCGCTTTATTTTTGTTTTTAATCTAAACCCATCTTTTTATTTCCTTTTCTATTTTATTCTTTACTTTAGAACTTCATGTTGTGTTCACAGCCTCCTTCATTCATTTCTCAACATATTTCTCACTGTTCCTTTATACTATGTGTTCTCTCCATTTCTCCCACAACACCTTACCTATGACATTTCTTGTTCCTTTCTTTAACTCACACCTCTATCATCCCATCTTCTGTACTTAATTGTTGTTTATTCCTCATGTCTTCCCTTCTTATTCTCACTCCTCATGTTCCTAGTTGCTTCTTTGAGTCTTCACACATTTTAATTAATGTTGTCCCAGTGGATGCCAGTAAGAAAAACATACACATAGACATGTACATACACAGACACAAACATACACAGGCATGCACACTCCAGCAGTCCTTCCCGCACTGTGACCTTGGCAAATGATGTGTTAATTAAAAGCAAGACCAAGGCTTTCTCCTGCAAAAGTGCAAAGGTTATGCAGCATGTGTTCTTGTAAAACCTAAAGTCCTTGCACAGATACTCACGTGCACATATACATGCAAACAAGCACAAACAGATATGCATGCAGTCTATTCTTTAGAAGCTGGAGCTCAAGGATCTCTAAATACAGATACGCAAATAAGGGGTATGCCGATGAGTACAATGAGTACAGTCTCAGTCACCATTAGTTCTACTTTGGATCCTCCGTTCATGCTACAGGATGAAAGCAACCCCTACATTTAAAATCAGTGTCATAAACAACTATTTATGACTTTCTTTTTTTGCAATGTGCAGTAAGACACCACTGATATGCACATGCTCGCCTATGCAAACTGCACTGAGTAGAAGATGTGCATGTCTTTTCTAATGCGAACTATGAATATTGACAGCTATTACACCCTTTATCTTTTGATCATTCAGTACCTACAGTGCAGTCAGCTTCGCTCCTCATTTCTCTATTGATAGACAAGTAGATACATTATGCATACAAGGCCAGAGCTAAGCCTGATAATACTCCTAATGCCAGAGGATTATGCAGCCTGGCTAGTCATCTAGGACACCTTTCAAAAAAGCAACTATTTCTAGAAAAAGTGAAAATTTTGCTGCGTGATGCACTCTATAATTCAGAGGAGTTGAAATAAAAAGGAACCACTAAATAGTACGCAGTTACAAGGCTGTAGGCGCGGGAATAACACGGCACCAGAGGTTCAAGGACTGATTTCGACTGCCTCCATATCAACTGAAAAAATTTTCACTTTTGATAAATCACTTTGTAAATACTTCCAAAAACACCAGCAAGTATGGCAAGCCTGATAACAACCAAGCATTATGACTGCAATAAATCAATATAACATTTTTATGAGACCATGATGGAGTGCAAGTTTAATCAAACTTATAAATTAAAGTACACACTGACCAAAAAAGGAAAATGTATATTCTAGTGGCTATATTATAGTTTCAGATGTGGACCAAGAAAACAAGTTTTAGAAGCGAAACATATTATGTCTGACCGCCACCTTCAGTGCGTCTCTGTCTGCTGATATTCTTACCTTGAATCCATACGGACAGGTGCAGTGGTAAGATCCTGCGGCATTGGAGACACAGGTACCATTATTTTGGCAGGGAGCTGAAAGGCAGGGGGCGCACTTTGACATCAGGTTGATATCCACTGGACCTACAAATGATAACAGACGTGGGAGAAAGCAGAAAGAAGAAGGAAAAGTGTCAGAGATGTGCACAAGAACACGTGTGATCTCTCTCAAACTCAAGCTACGTAGAGGCAAGAAGTAGAGTAAGATGGGATCATTTTTAGTTCATGACATGATGCATCTTTATGCAGCACTAGGTTTGCTCATGGAGTCCCAGCCCACTTTATAAACTCACAAACATAGTCAACAATGGTCATGTAATGCAGCTTCATTCTTTTTAGCAGATTACACTTTTCATGATATTTCTTTTATCTGTGTAAGAAGTCTGCTTCACAGTTCCTTTTGTCATGGTCTGGCTGTGTGGCTGTAAAATTCCCTGGTATCCACCCATGGGCAGGGCCTACAGCCTCCCTCACCTGAAGCTGATTGAGGCAATCAGGTTGGAGATTTAAGCTGCTTGCTGACACTGCTTCCTCGCCAGTTTGTCAACTACCCTATGTTGGTAACCACGCCTCACGCCTCATGTTCATGAATCTCACGTGCTCTACTAACCTTGTAATCTCGTGTTCTAGTTACTCCAGGAACACTCCATCACACCGAACCACTCATCTTGGAAATCTGGTTAACCCGCCAGCTCTCGGACTCATCTCCTTGCCTCACCTGCCTGTCCCCCTGTCCTTACACCACCTCGGGACCTTCACCACTCAGGACAGCTGCCACACACCACCTAACCCACCTGGACCGCACCACCTCTCCCTCAACGCTTCCATCTCTCACCTGCACATACGTACCTATTCACCAGCAGCTGCCGTTGCTTTCTTGGACCTGTCCCCTTGCTTATCCCTCTCCCCTGGCCAAGAGCCTCACGCCCCATATATCAAGCCTTAAATCAAGAACTAACGTGAACGTCATTTTGGTGTTAGTTAATAAACCTTTGTTAAACCCTTGACTCTGCCTCCGCCTTGGGTTTCCTGCACGTGGGTTTGATTTTTGGTGCTCAGCCTCCGGCCGTTTTGTGACCCTTTCCCGTCTGGTCTGATAGCAGAGAAGCCCTTGATGAGGTGATGTTAGAGGTCTGCTGATTCTATATGAGTTTACAGAATCCAGCCAAGAGGTAGAGGGGATTTATTTTATACATTTATATCTATGGTCAATCCTCTAATATAGCATGATGTATTACCAGCTGAGCTGATCCAACAGGCTAAAGGCTTGAGTGTCTGGCAACTCAAAATGGATCAGTCAAACGAATATGTTTGGGCTTTAAGCCACTACTCTTACCACCCAGCTAACAGGAAAAAAAAAACAGCCTCAGCAGCCTAAACAAATAATCTGCATTTCATATAAGCTTGTCGATTTTTGACCATGAGCTGCCATTCTCATCTAAAGCTGTGAAACTCAATCTAAGGCAAGGCTAAAGTCATAATGTTTTCTCCCAAATGGCCTAAAACTAAAACTCAGTAGTTTTAATGGGAAGAAAGTAAACTGCAAACAAAAGCTACAATGAAATAAACACACTTGAGTCTGTAAATATAATAACAGCCCAATCTAGTCTAAATCCAGGGATTACATGAGTGGTAAAACAATATATTGCACTTAGTACTATGAAAATATGTGTACTTACCTTTGCACTGAAATCTGTTTAATGGTGTGGTGAGCAGCAGTCTGTCAGCCATGTCAGGAGGTCCAGTACAGCGAGCAATGCCTTAAATACCAATTTTAAGTCAAAAGATATTCAGTATTTTTCTTATATGCAGCATTAGATGTTGGTGAACACACGTTTTTGGTTGAACAAATGCAAGCATATTGACTGTGATTTCTTACCAGGCTCTTTAAAGCCAGCCTTGACCCACTGAGAGAGCCAGCGCAGATCACAGTTACAGTACAATGGATTGGCACCAAGAGCCCTAAACAAAGTTAAAAGCATAAACCAATACACATTTACTCTGTGGATACACATATGTAGAAGTGCAGATGCAGTACAGACCAAAGCTGTACTTACAGGTGGGAAAGAGAGCTGAGGTGGTTGAAAGCTCCCTCCGGAATAGTTGAAAGGTCATTACCATGAAGAGTCCTGGAGGAGAGAAGCAGAGAGCAAAACAGGAGCATATAAATATTAATCATACCAGCGACCTTGTTACGCATTTAAAAAGGACGATTTTGACCTACTGTTACTGTTATTCTGTAGTTAATTAATTTAATTAGGTACTCTGTGTTTCTTAATCATTCTTTTGTAGCAAGGGAGGAAAAGTGAAAGAGCTTTTGACCTCGGTCCACTGTTACGTCCTTATCCACTTGCACCACAACATGATTTTGTGAGTACTGCTTCAGTAAATGCTTTTTGTTTTTAGTTGGTCTCCCTTCATATGGTACAATTTCAAGAGGTCATACACAGTAGAGAGCCTTTATGAGGCGTGGTGATCTAACTCTGTAGATAACCTCAGGACCTTTGCTGGGGTCTCTTATATTTTCCTATTTTGGTGCCTTGAGACAAAAGGACGTTGACATTCTACAGACCCTCACTGTGTCCATTGACTGAAAGGTAGGGTAGGGTACAATGAACTCTGTGGGATGAAAAAAATCCAAACATATGCATTACATATGACTCTTGATTAAATGCATAGAGTTCTAACTATATATGATAATTGGCTCACTGTACAATTTGTTAGGTACAACAACTACCTGTTAAATCAAATATTTAGCATCAAACATCAGCCAAAACCATGGCAACAACATTAGACTTAGAAGAAGATTTGTGGAGCCAGGGATCAAACCACTGACCTTTTGACTAGTAGATAAACTAGTACGGTGTAATAGTAGAGGTTAATTTCTTGGCACACTTTGCTCCTCTTACTAATTGAGCAAAACCCAAACAAGGTGTACCGAACATAGTGCCCACTGAGTGTGCATACACTATACACAGCTATTAGTTTTAACCTTGTGGTTTAATAATTAGATTTGTATCTTAAATGTGCAGCTAAGGTTTAACCATAGCTGACAAGGGGCTATTGACCAATGTTAAAAAGGATTATATCCAAGGAAAACCTATTGCGTCACATCCATCATATCAGAGCTAAATGAAAGTGACTGCCCAGTTGCCTAATACTCACTTTGGAGCAAGCTAATACACCAGTCTAACCCTTATAGCTGCATGCTAAATTATTCAAATTTATTTGTGGTTCCTCAGTAGCAGACACACCATCATACCCTTCTATAATGGAAAATAAATAAAATATTTATGAAAGAATAACACAAAATAAACAGAAAGCCTTTTTTCATTGTTGTGCAATAAAGCTTGTTCGGGTCTCTGAATGGAATATAAACTGTCTCATACGGTCATCTCGCAGACGGTGGTGTGCGAGCGATCATGTGTGTCACAGTAGAAAACTGCAGGTCGAGAAGCGTATTAGTGTTGATGTGTGCATTTTTGCTATGTACCACTGGGTTTGCATGTATGTGTTCGTGTCTGTAGATGTGTGTCTGAAACTTTTTGTCTCTGAGGGCTTAGAGACTTCAGAGTGTGCGTGTGTGTGTCCTTTGTGTGTCTATCCATTGGAGTGTGCTGCCTGCTGGATAGAAGTTCACATTCCATTAGAGTGAAGGGCTGTAGCAGGGGACAGCTATCAAACCAGCAGTATTGGAAAAACTGTGCATGTGTATGTATGTGTACTTGATTTTTGTGTGTGTGTGCGTGCGTGTGTGTGTGTGTTATCGCTGCTTAATGCCTTTAAATGTTTATGTGCATCTCTGTGTGCGTTTGTGTAGCAATGTATGGTGGTCTCACAGCCCCCGTCTATGACTAGCCCAAGGGGGGTTGTGGGTAATGAGGAAGTGACAGTGATGACTGCCTGGCAACCAGTTGCTATGCGGGGGCAGAGAGGGATCAGTCCCGACGGTAACATCAAGTAAAATGAAAGCAAGAAAGCAAAAAAAAGAAGAAGAAGAAGAAGAAAAAAAAGCGGTCACTAACTTCTGGGAGGTGAAAGCATCATAAGAGATAACGCCAGTACAAAGAGAAATGGCTGAAAACAAATCTGAATTCTCTGACAGTGAAACTCTTTTTCTTGCTAAAGTTTTGCTCACAATAATCACCACTGAAAGCTAACTCATATGAAAATGAAAGTATATTTTGAGCCAAGAGTTGTACCAAGATTAAGAACCTCAACACTGCCATTGTTTAAATATTTTAGATTATGAAACAAAAAACATTTTACCACTCTAACCACAGCAAGACCACTTGGGCCGCGCAGAAATCCAAAGTTATTCAGCAAAGCAAAAGAGAAAAGCAGCCTTGGTTGAGGCCGTGTAGTTTTTCATCGACAAAAGCCACCTCTCTTGGCTTTTTTGTGGCTTTTTCTCCTGCAGAATTCAGATGTGGTTGTGAGACTTTGCTGGAAAGACTATTGGAAAGACTGCTGTTGTCTTGGCTTTCTGACATCACACTTTAATCACTATCATATTGTCAGAAGTTGTAATTTGAGTAAACTGACCCTTTAAATGGCAATAAAAAAATGACCTTTACGTAAACATTCTGAGATTTTTTTCATTTACAGCTTTAGCTTCAGACCTCACTATAGTGAACGGGTGTTTTCAAGGAGCCTTGACATAACTAAACAAAGCTTTCGAGGATAACCAGCTTCAACCTTCAGTGATTCTTATAGGCTTTATTCAGAGAATAGGGCTTAACATTATCTCTGATGAAAGCTTAAAATATTCACCAGTGTCATCCTTACTTAATAAACTTAAGGTATCACAGCAAAACTGACACTAATAAATGTTGATTTATGATACTCAAGCAACCCCACACTTAAGGATCAATACGATTTGCTGTTATACAAGTACGTTATGTAGATGTTTACACTTGTGTGCACCGCATACACAGATTGGATAGTATATTCATATTTTTGTGTGTGTGCAGCTCGTTCCATATGTGTGAGGCAAGCTGGTCAGACAGCAATAGTCACATGCACACTGTGTGTAGGCACGCATGTGGGTTTGTGAGACAGAGGGTGGACAGCCAAATGGATGACTGAGAGAAACAGAGGCTGAAGGTCGATTCATCAAACACAACATTGGGCGGAAGAGAGAGAAAAGGAGGAGAGGATAGATAGAGGAGAGCGAGAGGGAGAAGCGCATGGCGAGAGGCAAAGAATTCAGATAGAAAGGGAGTATTAAAGAAATGGGAGAGTGCGACTTTTATCTTATTTTAGTACCCTGAAACAACAGATGATTGGGTGGACTGTGACTCATTTTGCAAGTGGGTCTTAATATGGCACTCAGCCTGAAATCAGGGGAGTGATTAAACTTTGATTTAACTCTGTAATATAACAGGCAAGGGGGAGTGTTGAATATTGAATCCACTGCGGCACTTAAAGATGAAGCTCGCTACTCACAGCAGGCGAAGTGACTTGAGCCCATCGAAGGCATGGACAGGGATGCAGCGAATCTGGTTATAACTGAGGATTCTGTAAGACAAAGGACACAAACAAGGTCACACGATTTAACTCTACATCAGGAGGCTTTTTGGGTTTTTTTGTTTGTTTGTTTGTTTTTTCAAAATATGAAAAGATTATTCAAGAGATGACACAGTAGGTTTGGTTTTTATAAAAACTTGGTACAGAACCTTTTGCCACTGAAGGCTAGACAGTGAAAATTAACACCAGGGGCACATTTCAAATACATTAGAAAAAAATAGTTAAAGATAAAAACACCTGCCAGAGGCAAAGGTCAAAGAAGAGTCTGGAAAGTCAAACTCCCACACCACAGTTAAATGTAATTTCTTTTAAAACTGCTAATGAATCCAAATTTAAGTTTGGCAACAAATGACAGATAATGAAGCGTCCCTTAAGGATGCTACTATTATTTGAACACAATATCATGGTGGCTAATAATGATCCTAATGTAATAAACAGACACTATCTGAGATGTATATTCACGAAAATAGCAGCCAAGGTAGTAGCCAAGATTATTCCTCAGCATAATGCTCAATGAAGCAATGCCTAATGATAATTACTGACTGTCAAGAAGCTTAATCCTCATCTTCTCTGTTTCACCAGTGGCCTGGACCCATTGAGAAAAGATCCCAACAGCCAAGAATAATGAATCCTGGAAAATCTGATGTGGAAAGTGAAACACGCCTCTCTGCCGCTACCTTCAAATCTTCCCTAGGTGTGATTGAGCTGTGCACAGGATTTGTATCTGGTGCTATCTAGGCGCAGAGAGTAGAAATCTGTAGTTGCAGGACGTAGCTTGGAGGCGTGAATCAATGTGACTTTATGAAATATAAGTTGATATATAGCCATTGTGTTTATAGATTCTTTGCTTAAAAAGAAAGGCAAAACTAAAGTTAATTCCATAAATTAAAAGAATAATTTATGTAACTTTGTGAAAATTCCTGCAGAGGTAAAAAAAAATAAATAAATAGAAAAAACAGAGGGAGATGGGATAAAAGCAGGAAGAAGAGCCAACATTTCAACAGGATAAATTTTAACATTTTAAAAAGGAAAATATTTTAAATATGAAAAATGCATTGGGGCAAAAAAGAACATATTATATGTGTATGTTAGAATAGAAATAAAGGAAAAAGAAGATACAAGAGGAGGCTGAGATGAGTGGATGGGGGTGTGGGGTGGGGTGGGGGGGGGTGAAGAAGCGATAAACCTTAAACGAGAGACTGGAAAATGAAAACAAGGACGAAGAGAAATTAGGAGGAAGACAAAAGTATGGAAAGAAAAAAAAATTATATGTACATGTACATGCACCTGTACACATGTACAGGTGCATGCATCAATAGGTACATATGTTGCCATGGTAACTTACAGTGTGGCTAGTTGAGTCATGTTGTTAAAGGTGTATGGGGCCAAAGCACTGATGCTGTTGTTGCTCAGGTCCCTGTGTCGACAGAAACTTACATGAGGGACCCATACAAACACATACTGCATGCATCCATATTGGTTTCGTAAACTGGAAAATGATGTGGCATATGTGCATTCTGTTCAAGGTTATGTGAGAGGTACATACACCAGCGACAGCTGTTTCAGGTTTGCCAGCTCCTTGGGCACAGATGTCAGCATATTACCCTCCAAGTAACTGCAAGAAAAAAATGCATACTTAATATAGTATTTATTACATACACAAATACAGCCATGTGGAGGGGTGAATTGATGCCAAGGGAGCAAGTAAAAGTTTTGGATTAGTAACTTGTGTCTCATCAACAGTGTGGAATGATACAGAAAGCAGACAAGAAGAGAAGGGTATAAGTTTGTGCTGTTGGTAAGAAGAGTGAATGAATGAGATGCATAACAACCAGCATAACAGGAATGGAGCTTCTTGCATCCACTAGCTTTGACTGTGAAGAAAACAAAAGAACTCATTTAAAACTGACCACCTCCCATTTATCTCCCATTAGGTTATTTGGTGACTGGCTGTAGGTGTAAATGTGAGTATGAATGGTTGTCTGTCTTTGTCAAAGTCTCCGTGACCCTGAATTGAACAAGCAATTAAGGAAATGGATGAATGGACATCACACGTTCAAGGTTGTGTGGCTGTGCACTTCTGGGCCACTCCACAGACATTCCTTTCAGATCATTTGCACATGTATGTTTGCGATTTCCCTATGGACCACAAGCTTCTACAGACAGCACACATTAGCATCTGTGTCAAACTGACCCAATCTTCATGTAGACTGAGAGAAATAAATAGAGTTCTCAATGGGAGGATCTGCAACAACCAAGCCAGAAGTTGCCACATCAGGTCGAGAGCTTGACAGTTTTTTTTTGTGTGTGTGTTTATGATCTGTTTTTGTTTTGTTTTTTGTCTCCCAGGGCTAGTCTGTCAAGACGTGTACTGTAATGTCCTGGGGTGTTATTAGAGAGAGAACATTAGCCAACATGTGCCGGTACGTAGCAAATAAAAAAGGGAATTTTTGGCCACACTAAAAGATTCTTTATTTAATAGCATCCGTGTTCATTAGAACACCTTCACGTGTACTTCTCTTTCCTGGAGGAGGACACAAATGCAGGTGATCAGAAGGGGAATTCCACATAGTGAATTAAAAAGGCAGCAGCCACTCTAGAAGGGGTGCAGTGCTTACGTGGGGTAGTGCTTTGAACGGGGAGATGGTCAAATTTAAATGACTGTGATGCTGTTATAGTGTTGGGTTGCTGAGCTTTATGATTGCATCTTAATGATGTCTGTGTTTTTACTATGTTTAAAGGGAAGAAAAAGGGGGAACTGTTACATTATGTTATATGAGCAAAGTTCTGTGTTAGACATACAGAGAATTTTCACATTCGGGCGTTTCTTTCTTGCTTTCTAATATTGTGAGAAACAAAATAAAGGTATACACACAAGCATACACATATTTTATGATGCATTGGTCTCTGTTTGTCTCTCTCAGGTCATAAGTAGGTCATGTGGACAGTATGATGGAGTGTCTTCTTCAGCCTGATCAATACCTAATCACTGCTATTGACCCTGTGGAGCAGGCCTATTTCACAGCTAGAGGGGTTCCTCTGTGGTTGTGCGTGAGCATGTATGTGTGTGCAATAATTCACCATTACTTTGTTCCTACTTCTTTTTAAATTTCCTAATCATAATTAACATTAAGCCTTGTTTTATCTTTGATGATTAAGAATGTCTCTTTATTACAAGGATTCCTGATAGCTTGAAATTAATGAAAGATATAGAGCAATTCTCTTGAAGCACCAATTTAATCATAAAGCAAACAAACAATTATTCATATTTTTTACATTATTTCTACAAAAGATTATTTATTTTTTTAAATGGACATTTTATTGAGGTTAATGACTCTGATTTCACCTAATTATTATAGGAAACAGCATGAAAAATAGTCACTGCTCTGGTGAAATTTGATATGAGAGAAAAATGTGTATTGAAGCAATTGACACTGTAGCATTAAAACTAGTTATAAAGCAATTTTTAAGATGGTATCATGATAATACCTCTCAACTATATAAGATCCTACTGTGTAGTGGTAGTTAGATTTAATAACTGGGTTGCTTCATAGATTTGTAACATCAGCATGTAATTATATACAAGCACAAGTACGTCTACTGTATACCTAAAATCCTAAAGACACAAAAAGAAAGAAAGCAGGAGCATGTGCGTAATTCACTAATTGCTGTGCTAGTTTCTGAAGCAGGAGAGCAAACTGCAGCATCACTAATGCACTGCAGCAAAGTGGGACTATATGTGTTTATGGAACTTTTGCATGCTATTTGACGGCATACAATTTTTTCTGTGACTGTATATGCATGCTATAATTGATGTCTGTTTCTGAATGTTTGAGTATGCACATTCATGTAGTGAAGCTTGTGTATGCATGTGTGTGTGTGTTACAGTGCAAGCAAGCCTGTCTCACAGCTCAGTGGTGTCCTTGGGAATGCCCTTGGGCAGAGAGTGCAGCCCTCTGTTGCTGCATCGCACCACGCCGTCTGAGCACGTGCAGACGTCAGGACAACCAGACGCAGGAAGGCAACCATTATCCTCAGCACCTGGAGAGAGGGGAGTAGAGAGAGTAGGATATTAGCATGAGGAGGAGGAGGAGGAGGAGGAGATAGATGGATAAATAGAGGTGCTGAGAAAAAACAACAAAGAGAGGAAAAGGGAGGAAAAAAACAGCTTTCGAAAAAAAGTTAGGACAAAACAGGGAGAGAGAAAGAGCTAAGAGAGAAAAAGGGACAGATAGAGATACAGCTTGAACAATAAGTAAGACACTTGCTCAAATCAACTCAGCGCTTTTTAGAAGTACTCAGACCAGATATTGCTAAAAGCTATATGGATGTATTTCAACATATGGCTCAGCACATGCAGCTGGGGCACAGAGATTTTAAAAATCCTCAGATGATTCAGGAAACCAACAAACCAAAAAAACCCAAAACTGAGCAGATGTTTTGGGGGTTGAAAGGATGACAGGCAGTTGCAGCAATAAAATGAAAGCTGAAACCTCTATAGTCAGTTTTAACTAACTTGCATGTGAATATTCTCCAATTAAAATTTTATATTTTTATTTCTGCAAAAAGTCACACATTAAATTTTTAATCCTTTTAATTACATTTTCTTTTAGCTTCAAGAATTTTGTTACTTCCCAAAATTTCTTGAGGCACTTTTTAGCCTTGCTGTCAAAGTATTTAGCACAAAACGTTGTAAGGTTTAAGTTCCGAACATTCCACACACAGGCACAATAACACACAGTAGGGACAAAAAAACATCTGAGTGATTGTAATAATTTTACCATTAAGCGATAAGGAAGGTCAGAAACTAGAGCAGAGTGTTGTTCTTGGCTTGAAATGCTCCCATTTCCTTGACTGGCATGTAAAGCTCACAGCTTTTATCTAGCAAAGCAGTATGTAAATAGTTGAACTGTGGTCCCAAATGTAAAACAAGCCGAGTTAAAACCATAATAAAGGATAATGAGGAGCGGACATAAAGCCAATCACAACACAACTTGCAATCTCAATATGTGTGTGTGCTTGAGTACTGGAGAGAGCAGTAGGAACAGTAAAAAGAAAGGCCTAGTTTACACGCATGTACAGTTTGCTGCTGATTGAATGAATTCAATGCTGATTTAAATGCTTGTGCATCTACATCCTGATTTTGCTGCACATTTAGTTTCCTAAATAGCTGCCTCCCCCTGTCCTATGGCCATTTTCCCATTCACTTTGTAGTGTTCTAATTGCGCTAATGTCTAAATGTCAAGTAAATGGGCGCTTACGTGCCAGTGAGTAGAGCAGTGCATGCATGTGTATCTGCGTGTCTAATCTGATGTGTGTACCTTGTGAGTCCACGGGGAGGTGTAGCCGTGGGCTGACTCACTCTACAGTTGGCTGATTGAACTAACATCTAAATGTGCGCTAAATATCTTCTCACAAATTCAATTAACTTTACCTTTCCCCCGGCTCCCTCTGGACACCTTAACAGCCATTTTACTCAACTATAAATAGACTGGACATGGGACCTTGGTTCACGGCGTGCTCGTGTGTAAGTATGCGCGCCCCTTTGTTTCTGGTCTTCTGTGAACCGCTTTGAGAATTACACTTTCAAGTGTAACGTTTTAGCATCACCAAGAGGTTATGCTTAATAGTACGGACACCTGGCAGGCAGGGAGGATGCCTTCAAACCTCTGTGAGCTGATTGGCCTTGAGCCAAAGAACAACTCACTTGAAGCTGGTAATGATCTAGATCCAAGATTTTGACTATCTCAACCTAAAATGCAATAAAGAGATGTCATTTAATCAAATTCTACATTTTAACAGTTAATTACCATTTTGCATGAACGAGTTCTAGTAGAGCTGCCACTTTAGAATGAATTGAGATACATTTTGACAATTGCAAGGATACGAGGACATGAATTCATGTTTGTGCAGCTCAGTGAATGTTGATGTAGCTTTGTGTGTGTGTGTGTGTGTGTGTGTGTGTGTGTGTGTGTGTGTGTGTGTGTGTGTGTGTGTGTGTGTGTGTGTGTGTGTGTGTGTGTGCGTCCGTGCGTGCGTGTGTGTGTGTGCAAGATGCAACAATGAATATCAAGATCTGATAACATCTTAGAGTTTCCTTACTTGAACCAATCCAGCTAACGACTTTCCAAACTCATTTTCAGTAAATGGCTGCAGCACAGCTACAGGAAATTAGAAAAGTGTAATGAATTTAAAAAAAAACTGAGGAGGGACAGAGAGGCACTACCAGATAGAAAGAGAGCAAAAGGGCGATCGAAAAAAGTTTAAAGTGTAAAAGCTACACAGAAAGCAAAGAAGGGAAAATAAAGACAAATGTAATAAACGCAAGAGCCAAACCACACTTTGTATATGGCGTCAAAGTTGGCGGCCAAGCCGACAGCCTAAGTTGCTATAGGCAGGCATCGTCGTGGTAACAACAACGTCACTGTAGCAACCACAAGCTGATGTCATCTGAGGCTGCTGTATGCCAGTGGTTACTGATCGTTCTGTCCTCACAATACCCTACTGAAGTGAGACCGAAGGCATGAAATGACAGAGTATCTGGTAATTTTGTTAAATCTGGATCACTGATGTTATAACCAAATCTATTCCCATCCAAACCAGAAGGTTTGTGCATATCTGAGGATTTTGTGATGTGAATATAGATGCAAAGAACAATGCGTTTTGGTAGCAGTAGGCTTAGTCTGTGCTGTGATTAGGACTCGAGGGGGAGTGAGGTCAGACATCAGTTGATACGCTGTGGACAATCCTTGAATGTAGTGCTAATTAAGTGCCACGTATATGTGATCATCTGTGTTCTCACTTTTTGTTTTTAGTGGATTAAATTTAAAGTTAAGATTTGAACAGCGCTACAAATTGGACGACTCATTACACAACACACAAGTGTTTTATTGTTATTTTCCTCGCCCAAATACATATTTGACATTATTACTGAATAAACAATTTTCCTATGTAGGGTTTTGAAAGTCAGGAAGCCCCTCAGTTATTATTAGTACGATTCAAGGACACATTCAGTTCACCTTTCAGTTGCTTCACTCATCCTTTTATCTGCACAGGACACACAGCCGCTGACTGACACATGTCATTTATTTCAGGTTTAAGGCTGTGACCTTTTTGTTTTCCACACAGTTTGGTGTATCAGTTGTAACATCCTGTGTGGCCGACCAAACCAAACACCAAGAACTGTGGTTTTAATTCTACTTAACTAAAACAAAAACAAATACTTGGCTTATTGGCAAAGAATGGAAAATAGAAAGTCTCACCATCACATGTAAAATCTGGGGTAGCCACATCCTGGATAGGAATCTCCTTCAGGAAGGCTGGCTTCTGACAGCGGGGATTTCCACTCACCACCCTGGTCTTCTTTAGCCATTGACCCAGCCAGGCCAAGTGACAATCACACACATATGGGTTGGACAGAAGATTACTAAGGAAATAATAAAGGACAGATGAGAGCAAGAGAGAGGAGGAAGGAAATAAATGAATCAGGGTAAGTTTAAATCCTACCGCACAAAGTTACATAACATCCATTCTTACAATATAAGGTATTTATCATCACAAACATTTTCCTTGACTTTGCATCCAGACAACTCGCACACCCCAAATTAGACCGTAACATACAAGCAGCACAACAAAACGACAGCGAGAAGAGCAACAAGGACAAAACAGACTTTGTTCTGAATTTATTTTGGAAGCCGTTCAGAGGGATAATAATGGCAGTGCTTTATATGGTATTTTGGTGAGTGATACATTTGAATAAATTTAGATAGAAGACAAAGCAAGCCACGGGCTAAAGGGGAAGGGGAAAGGAATGAGGAAAGGTTATCGGCTGTTTTTATTCATTTTGCAAAGAACAGGGGAGATGGAGAGAGAAAAGGAAAAAGTAGCAGATTGAGAAACAGGGAAAAAGAGAAAGAAAAGAGAAAAGGTTATCTGCTCATTTTATTCATTTTTGATCACCACCTCTCTCTGCATTTTGTTGCTTTTGTAACACAGTTCATGTAATATTTATGCTGAGCCATATTTAAACTGAAAAGGGTGGAAAGGACGCGTTAGCAACACATACGAGACAGGCAGCATCCCTAAACCAAAGCTGCTCTGGGCATCTAAAATCTTGTGGCATATTCAAGTTGTAGGTTTGTTGTGGCTTTTTACAATTATTAGTATAGTTAAACGTTCATTCTTAAATGTGTGACCAATGTGTTGAATGCAAACATTAAAGGTAAGAACAAATCCTGGCACTCATCTAATATTTGTTGGCAACTTTGTAACAGATGAAGCTTGACAATGTTGCTGTCTGATTTTGTTTTGGCCCCTGGCATCTTCTTCTCAGCTCGCTGCCAGTGATTTAGATTCAACAACGTTCAGCAATGTCTTTCAGAAATATCAACAGTGAGCTACACAGAAAAAGAGATTTAAGGATGCTGTTACAGAAGGTGGTGTACCTGAGAAAATTTAAGGAAACAGTTCTGTGAAGTATAACCATTGGTATAGTGGAAAGTCCCCATGTTGTGTCTAAAGATGTGCAAGTGTCACATTGCTGTTCACGTTGTCCTCTGCTAAACTAATAAACCTAAATGCTGCTATATGTGCTATAATATTAATGGGGTGCTGCCACAGATAGGGACAAGTTATTTACTCATTTCCTTGTAATGAATTGACCTCACTGCATGGCAACTAAACCTAAGCTAAATCCCTTCCTTCCCTTTCAGCGTGTTAATCTTTTAATTACATGGACAAACTCTATAGGGAAACGAAGCACTAAGAATGGAGACAGATATTCGAAAGAGCAGGAGTGAGAGAGAAATCGAGGAAAGATAGGAGGGAATGAACAGAGGGTCTAGAAATAAAAACTATCCATCTTTCTTTCATGCCAGACAGCAAGCAGATGTTTGAATACAAATCAAGTGTTACTACAAAGCCAGTGAAAAACACGCTGAAACAAAGAATGAATGTGTCAAAGGATGAATGAAATTTGATATCTTATAATTATTAACACCGAGAGACTCTGACTTTATGCAACAATAAATATATCTGTCCTCATCCTCTGTGTCCACATTTTCCCTTTCATGTCTTCCATCGTTGTTCCCAAAAGAGTCAGGCAGGAACTTGAATCAGAGATGACAGGTACACAGCAGGACAGAGAGCAAGAACAAAAGGTGGAACAAGGGAAGGAAGCACAGAGAGAAATAAAGACAGCAGAGAGGATGAAATAAAATAAAAATAAAAAATAAAAGAATCAACCTTTCATGTTTTATTAAGCTGATAAAATCTATTATTTACAACATGGGTGGTCAAGTGATTGAAGAAAAAACACTCATTCACTTCTCAGGCTTCCCAGTCTCTTTGTCCTAAGAAAAATGGTAGGTGGACGGTTAGTGCTTATCATAGTTTTATTGGATTAGAGTTATTATTTGCAGTTCTGTGTAAAGACTTAACACCAATCAGCATCACACAAATTAAAGCATGCTTGAAAAAAACATGCACAAAGCAGATAAACGAATAAACGAATACACCGATTCTCGAATTCACGTCTTGTCGTAGCAGTTGTGAATCTTTGGGAAGATAACAGCAAGCTTGCAATTGGTCTTGTGTGCCAATGTGGGTGTGGGTGTGCAGATGCTGAAAAATATTTAGCTTTGATAACAAATGCCCCGGGATTCAGGCCAATCTAGTCGATAATGATGGAGAGCATCTGTGAGGAGAATAGTGTCCAGAGAACAACATGTGTGCAAACGTTGGGGCGGGAATGTGTGTGTATTGCTTGGAAGACAACTCCCACAGCAAGGCTATGAAAAATTAGGGGATAGAGGAAGATAGTGAGAGACAAACAAGCAGTGAGATTGGAAGACAGACACAAACAGATAGTGACACAAAGTGAGAGATGGGATAAATGATGGGATGGAAATGAAAAAGCAAAACAGGAAAATGAGCGACAAAAAGGAGAAGAAATTGTGACGGATGTGGCTTACATGGTGGACAGGGAGTGCAGGGTGGAGAATGATCCCGGGGCGATGCTGGAGATCCTGTTGTCATACAGTGACAGCAGACGGACGGAGCTCAGACCTGTAAAGGTACTGTTGTCAATACAGCTGATCTGGTTGCTCCGTAGCATGCTGGAAACACAAATACAATAGATTAATAAATGAAAGCAAACACAATACTTACTATTGGCTCTTTTTCACTGTCTATGTCACAAACTACATTAAAGTCAAGGCTTAGAATAATCCAGCGTTTCACATTTCTAACCTACTTAATATGAAGTTTTGCGTTTTAAAAAAATGTACTAATAAAATAAGGAAGGCTAGATAAAAAGAGACAGCCCAGCGAGATAAACGAATACAACCTATAATGACATGGACAAAAAATAAAAGAGAAAGGAGTGGATTTAAACCAGTCCCTATAGGACAGCCGTGGCAGACTCTGTAATATGACATTAGCCTTTGACATACAGTCATGTGGGATCATGCTAAGTGAGTTAGTTAGCATTAGCAATCTCTGGGACAAGCTAACCTAGTTAGCAAGGCTATTACTGGAGCAGGGAGCCCTCTTTACATAATACAGAGACAGCCATGATACCATTAGAGAGTCATTAGGCAGCATATATATACATGATAAGATTAGCTAGTCATTACTGAGTATACACAGACAACATTAGTTCGTGATTTTATACACTACCCTGTAACCCCTAATTGGACACTAGGCTCTTTAAAGTGGGTGTCCAAATTGGAGGAACAACAATATGCTGTCATTAGCCTTAATTTCAATGTAAGTGAGTAAACAATGCTTTCTTTTTTAGACCGGGGAAGAAAAACACACTACTATGTCAGGTGCTAATACAAACTGTACTCTGTTAAGTCTTTGACAACAAGCTAGTACTGATGTTATACAAAGAAAAAAAAGGAAATAAATAAATAAAGACATATACTGACTGATCTTATAAAAGAAGAATAGCCTTTTTTTAGACATGCTCTCAGAGACCAAATCTTTTTAAATATCATTAGAGATAAAGATGAAGCAGTGGAGTATAATGGACTTTAAAAGCCAAGAATAAATGTAGTTATATAAATAAAGTTTAAAAAAAAACCAAAACGTTCATATTGTCTTCTGAGGGTAATATGAATAACAGGGCTGCGTTGATTAGAGTGAATAATTGATTCAAAAGATTTGACAAATTTAAAATAAACAGGACTGACCTTAAAAAATGTCATTTGAGTGGGATCTTGAACTCAAAATAACACTTTTGAACCACATTTTCAACAATTAGGTTTACATATTTTTTTCAGAACAGGTGCCATTTACACAAAAACTGTGTTCAAGCATGCTGTGCATAGATTATTTTCACATGGGTTGGGCTGCAACTGTAGAATGGGCCCTTGTGTTCAGTGGTGTTCAATTATTTGCCTACATCCTAGCATAAAATCAATTAATTTCACTTCCATTATCCTAAACCTATTCTAACTTTCAAATGAAATTTCCGTAAGTCTTATTACACAACAAGTACACACATATACACTGCTGTGAACTATACTTACAGGGTTTTCAGGCCACTGAGGCCTCTGAACATGCGTCCCTGCAATCCGGTCAGCTTGTTCCCCGTTAGCAGCAGCTCCAAAACTCCACCTGCTCCATCAAATGCCCCTTCACGGATGTCTTTCAGTTTGTTGTTGCTCAGGTTGCTGCAGGAGAGATCACACAACATTCATAGCATTTTTACTTTTGTATTTAGATATTTTACCTGTACATGTTTGCTTGAGCCATCATGCATGTTTTTCTAACACAACCGACAGCAGCAACAAGATAATGGAAATGCAGGCGCGCAGCATTTTGAAGACACAGACATGCATGCAAAGCATTCCCAGTTTAATTGCAGTAATTAATCATGTCCCTTCAACTAATAAATGTTAACCTTCTTTTCTTTCATCTTAATATCCTTCTCTTAGACATTAGATATTCAGATAACAGAGCCTGCCATCACTATATCTGATAAAAAACACCAAGCGTGTTCAAATAAAACTAAAAGAACAAAGTGGTACAAACCAGTTAAAAATGGCTTCTTTCTCTCTTTCATGGACACAATAAAAGACATGAAAAGGATGAGTGCTTGGCCTCAAAGACAATAATTGGGGATGATAGCTATCACACATACTGTAGTCTTCATTCATAGGTCAATTGTGTTTCCTATTATCGGGTTTACTGAAGATGAGAGAAGGTGGAGGATGAGACTGGAAAGACAGGTTTAAAAAAACGTGTAAAATAAAAACAAAAAAATGTGATAGCAAATGTAAGGATAACAGAAAATGTGAGGTAAGGTGAGGAGAAGCGAGGAAAGGAGGATAGGAGGAAGGAATTGAGAGAAGGAAAATGGAAATGAGAGCTCGCCAATCTATATTGTCAGTGACACTGCTAGATGGTTAGCAATTTCCTCTCCAATAAATCAACTTCTGGTCTCTGCTCTGTCTTTCTCTATCTCTCCCTAACACACACACACACACACACACACACACACACACACACACACACACACACACGAGCACAAACCTAGAGTAGTTTATAGATAAGAACTGACTGTAAATCTGAACGAGGGCCCATCTTCTATTTCCATTTCATATTTGCTTCCTGCATACTTCCAATCCACCCTTCCCTTTTCTCCATCTCTGTGTTCCTCCCATCCTCTTGCCTGTGCTCAGTCGATCTTCTTCCGGTATCTCTACTATTTTACTTTCCTCTTTTCCTTTTTTCTTTTTTCTTCTTTCATTTTTCTCTTCAGTTTTACTTTTGGCTTCCAGTTTCATTCTCTTTCTTTATAACACCTGCTTATTTCTGTCATGAATATGGAATCAATCTCATCACTTATTATCAAAATAAAGAGTAAAAAAAGAAAGCCAAAGCCTATTGTATTCTCTTCAGATAAATAATACCTCCATTTTCTATGCCAGGTCCACTTTACATAATTTTTAGAGGAGTAAGACATTACTGGACTTATACATAATACAATATTAAATATATTAAATTAAATATTAAAACCTTTGAATCATATAATGGAAGTGCCTCTTTAAAAAAAAAAAAAAAAAAAAATAATAATAATAATTATATATATATATATATATATATATATATATATATATATATATATATATATATATACACATATGAAGGTAACGGTGGTCCCCGTGGTAATCGGAGCACTAGGTGCGGTGACTCCCAAGCTAGGTGAGTGGCTCCAGCAGATCCCGGGAACAACATCGGAGATCTCTGTCCAGAAGAGCGCAGTCCTGGGAACAGCTAAGATACTGCGCAGGACCCTCAAGCTCCCAGGCCTCTGGTAGAGGACCCGAGCTTGAAGGATAAACCGCCCGCAGGGGCGTGCTGGGTGTTTTTTTATATATATATATATATATATACACTTACATTTTTCTCAAATTTGGCAGCTTCTTAAAAGTCCCTGTAGCCTCCAGGACAGCAATCTCATTGTCGTTTAACCGCCTACAGAGAGGAAGATGGAGAAAGGGAGTTAGATTTTTATTCTTTCATGAAACAAACTGCTTTAGTGCACACAAGTGAATTTCTACATACACAGAGAAAAAACAGGCAGAAAATAAGGGTGGGATGGCCACATGTAAGTTGAGAGGACTTCAGAGACTTTGCAAATATGATGCAACACAAAACAACACAGGGATGAAAAAAGAAAACCAGAAGAGAAGAGAAGAGAAGAGAAGAGAAGAGCAATGAATCTTTTATATGTAGTCATCAATAGCCACACTGCCCTAAGCCAAGAGAAAACAGTTTGAGAGATAGGAAGCTAGACATCTGGTTTATTGAGGTAATTTGTACTAAAAGGGCGCTGCTAAAAGGATGCACTTTGTGTACGTGTATGTGTGAAAGCAGCAGAGCAAGAAAAATCCACGAAAGAAAGTGAAAGTTCAGCTCAAGGGGACAATTTGTAACGAGATATGAGGGGGTTCAAAGATGGATTGGCCTGGATAAACACAGACTGAAATAATACACTGAAAAGCCTGAAGTAGGTTCTGATGGTAGGAGAATGATGCCTCTTTTATTGCTGCGTTTATTTGCATATTTTGACAGTATCAAAAACACATCTGATCTCTTCATCATCTGATCTGGCCCCAATGTGGCCTGACAATGTACAGCACATTTAATAAAGTGCCTATAATTCTCATAAGACTGATGTCATTCTTATTAAATGCTCCCAAGGCCGATGTCAATGATTTTTATGGCTAGCAGAAAGAGTCCCAAAGACAGACAGACGAGACAAAGAGAGCAAAAAGTATATAAGCCCTCAGCTGAACCACAGCCTCCCCTGATTTCCCCTGATAAGGCAGGTTACAGGCCATGAACTGACAGCTTGTGTGTTTGTTTCTGTGTGCTCACGATTGTGGCCTTCAGAAAATACTGGGTGGTTGTGTTCTTAAGGAAAAGGAAGGCTAGAGAGAGAAAAGGTGTAGAAAATACTAGAAACTCTGATGTGCCCTCTAACCAACCATAAAGGACAAAGTATACATTTCTGACATGACGTACCCTGGGGACGGATAGGGAGAAAAGGAGGGAGGATTGGCGAGGTTCACAGTGAGAAAAAGAACCAAAGAGAGAAAGAGAGACGGATAAATTGGGGGCTAATGGTCTGTGTAGTGCTGGCATTATTAGTTATCTAAAGTGGCAGCTGTGGCTGAATTCACCATCATACAACTAACCTCCATAAGTAATACTGTGACAACCATCCTGTGTGTGCCTTAATGCTGTAGTATCCCCATCCCCTGAAGCTTTTCTACATTACTATCTCACTGATAACCATAGCAGAAGCTCTCCATCCTTCTCCTGCATTTTAAAGCTGCAGGTGATTTAGCATTATTAGGTAAAACTTTTTTTTCTGTCTGGATTCCAATTTCCTCTTTCCTTAACTTACTGAATGTGTGATTAAAATTAGTCAAGGTGCTGAAAGTAAAATGAGCTGTTTTTAGCACAACACTTTTTTCTCGTGTTCTGAATCAAAAGTCAAAGATTGGCATGTATTTTATCGCTTAAAAGCGGTGGGGTTTTTTTCAAATCACATCATTATGTTTTATGTTAATTTTGCTATTTTTTCCCTGACAATCTCTATTAAATTACTTAACCTTTCTCTCTGAAGAGATAGTGCAAGCATACAACCTTCATATCATCACTTTTTTTCCTTTTTTAAAAAAAATCGGGAGTAGGTTGAAGCAAATGTTTCCTTTTTTTCCTGGTTAGTGAAAAATATAATGATATGCTGATCCAAGTTCTTTTTTTCCATTAAGCTAGCCGTACTTTTCATACTGTAATAGCCTACTGGGACATGGTGGTAGGGCTGGGCCATATCATACCGTTCACAGTAATCCCGGTATAATGTTCGGCAACAATAAGAAAATGAAATATCGCAATAGAATATGGGTAAAACGCGCATGCGCAGTGCTTGAAATTGCTAGATGATGATGTGTTTCCCTCTTTGTGCACTGAAGCTGGCACGTTCCCTGAGTTTTTCCAGCATGATGGTGCACCACCACATTATGGGTGCCAGGTCCGAGCATTCCTAGATGAACAGTTTCCTGGAAAGTGGATTGGTCGTCGTGGGCCAGTTGAAAGGCCCCCAAGGTCTCCCGATCTGACCCCCTTAGACTTTTATCTTTGGGGTCATCTGAAGGCAATTGTCTATGGTGTGAAGATGTGAGATGTGCAGCACCTGAAACTACGGATACTGGATCCCTGTGCTGGCATTTCTCCTGCGGTGTTGCTATCAGTGAGTGAAGAGTGGGAGAAGAGGGTTGCATTGACAATCCAACACAATGGGCAGCACACTGAACACATTTTATAAGTGGTCAGAAACGTGTAAATAACTCATGAAAGAATAAAGTTACGTTGAAACCAAGCACACCATTGTTGTTCTTGTGACATTACCAATAAGTTTGATGTGTCACATGGCCCTCTTCCTATTGAAAAAACAAAAGTTATATCCAAGATGGCCGACTTCTAAATGGCCACCATGGTCACCACCCATCTTGAGGAGTTTGCCCCTCACATATACTAATGTGCCACAAACAGGACTTTAATATCACCAACCATTCCCAGGTTATTATGGTGTATCCATATAAATGGCCCACCCTGTATTACCGTATTGTGTGTGTATAACCTCTTTTTAAGTTTTGTGGATATTATACATGGTTATGCTGAGGATATGTCGGCCAATTTCCACTGGAAATGCCTTTTGGTTAAACTGTCAGCGAGGAATTTGCATTTGCACTGTTAAATTTTTATATATCTTTAATGCACATAAAAAACAGCTGCTTGTTTAAGTGAAAATACATTGATGATTTTTTTGGGTTTTTTTGCACTAATAAAGTTGTGGAGTTGTGAAGTATTTTGTCTAGTGTCAATTATATCGTCAGTTATATCGTTATCGCAAATTTTCAAATGTATAACGTGATAAATATTTTTGGTGATATCACCCTGCTCTACATGGTGGCATATTGAAAAACCATGCATGAATCAAGGTAGATTTGGACCACGTTCCAAAAGCAGATCGTGATGTCTTGAAATGTGTTATTTAATTCAAAAAGTGAAAAAAAAAAACCTTTACTAATAAGAACCTGTCATTAGGAATTGCTTTAAAAAAAAAACACCTTTCTGGTAATTATTACAGATTAACAGTCTAACTGTTGTAAATGTTTTTGTCTGTGTTTTAAAACCCACATGAAATCATACAGATATTACAGTATTCCTGTAGCGTTATCTGTTACTCATTTTTAAGCCAGAAAGTGAATGATCAATGGGACTATTCAGTATTCTAGTGTGAGACCCTTCACCAGACATGATGATGGCTCCTTTGGGACTTGGAGGGAGATGGAAAAGACTGCTGAGGAGCATTTTGGTCTGAGAGCTAAAAATCAAGTGACATTCATGATAGAGAGAAGCAGAGAGAGACAAAAAGGACATGCATATGTGAGTTTGTCTTTCCATCTACACAGGCCTTAAAAACATTACTACTATTTCATGGCACACGATTAAGTGGGTGTTTTAGTCCGTGCATATGCTTCTAAAAACATGAAAAGCTTCTTTGAGATTTTGTGGTACGCGTTTTGTTTTACTGTTTCAGCTTTTTGAAGAGCTTGCACATATATGTATATCTATATAAAACAGTAAGGCCAGCTGACTTACAGGTCTGCGGTGTGTTCAGGGATGTGTGGCGGTATTCGGGTCAACTTGAGATTGGAGCAGTCAACCACTGTGCCTTCACAGCGACACTTCTCTGGACATACCAGGTCCTGGAAACATTCCCCACTCAGACGGCTGCGATAGTCCTCCTGACCTGCGGATCAGAATTTAGGGTAGAAAAAAAGAAAAAAAATGTAACTAGGAATAACAATGAAGAGGAAGACAGAAGAAAAAACAGCTAGGAAGAGAAGGGATGGAAAAAAGGAGGTAAATTATGGCAATAGCGAATAGGCACAAAGGGAGGAAAAAAGAGGAAAAAAGTTCAAATAAGACACCATGGACACAAGACTTCAAACTTATGTAAACATAATCCCATTTATATAATCATTTACATAATTTTATATTTAGAAAAACAAAAAGAAAATCAATATTTTTTGTTATTCTTCTCCCAGGCTATCTGGTTGAACTGTTTCCTAAGAAGTTTCATTGTTGGTAAAATTCTAGGACGGTCACAATTCAGTCAGAATGAGCAACACCAAAACAAAACTAGTCCATCTACTTAAAACAGCAGGCTGCAGTTGCTGCTACAGCTCTGTACTGCAAGCAGGCACGGGGCTGATTCAGGGAGCAGTAATTCTGCATGGCCGCTGCTGTAAATCAAGTTAACGAACAGATATCCAGGTGGGTTTATGGAATCACCTTGTAGATAAATGTGGTTTAACCCCGGATGTTTTTGTTTAACAAGGTGAGCCAGAGACCACTTCTGTTATTTAGATATAATATGAGCAGATATTATTTATGACTGCGAGTGCCTGTAGAATAGACCCGGTTTGCATCATGCAGCACGTGCGTTCATGCATCACATACTGTACTCTCATTATAGTTCACGCCGTTATCATTATCTTTTTTTCTTCCTCCTGTTCTCTCTTTGTTTATCCATCTGCTCTCTGTCAATGTAATCTTTCCTTCATTTTACTACTCTTCATTCTTGCATTGGGACAAAGTATTTGCTGCCTCCAGTCTGTTTTCATGACTCATTTGCTCATTGTTAAACAACTAAGACCACCTATTGAAGGTTTTCTTTTCTTTTTTCTGCAAATGATCAGTGCCCTTCAAGTGATGTCTATCTTTTGAGAGACATGGCTAGCTTCTTTCAATGGAAAAAATATTTTGCAATATTGTCTCTGGGCTGTCTCTAACCTTGTTGGTTAAGTTGGGTAAGCTGACAGAGAGAAAAGAGCAAGGGAAAGTTCGGATGAAAGGGAAAGAGAATAATAAAGGGGAATTAAGCAAAGACCGGAAGGTGGGTTTTTATCATCTTAATAATAGTAATGGCTGAATTTTTCTTAGCAGACACACGGGTGAGAGGTGTGTAGGGCTAGAGAGGTGATGGAATATTTGTGCAATCATGTGGCTTTGGAATAATTGGAATAATTGGGAAAACTTCACATGGACGTCCCCCTCAAGTTAGAGACAGAACATGTAAAGTCTGAGATACTTTTGTTGTAGAGCGCACACACAAATACATATCAGATAAAGTACATATCTGGCTGATGGCAGTCGAGAAAGTTTAATGGTAAAAATTCAAGTATTATATATGTTTTTTTATCTTGCATTAAATTTTTTAATAAGGTTGTAAATACTTGCTGCTATCCAACTTAAGAGAGAGCTGGATAAGCTGGAAAAAGGGACTAGTTCTTTTCTACTCAACTTGAGTTGTGTACTGGAAAGAGAAACCAGTGTTGTTTCTACATACTGAGAGACAAAAAAAATCTTGTCTGCAGCATCAGTTTTGTTTCCACATTCCAACCCAAAATCATAGAAACACATCAAAGCTGGCAGAACAAACAAAAACCAGAGGAAAATGGGGCTATCTAAGGAGCACATGAATGCACAATAAGCCATGCTAACCACTGAAACACTGACATGCGATCGGAGAATCTAAATGTGAAGAAAACAAGCATTCATTGTAATGTGCTTTGAAGCATTACAAGGAGATGTTTCCAGAGCACAATGACAAAAGTAGGAGCATCTGTTTAAATGCAATTTTAGAGTTCAAATTTATGCTTGCAGTTTTGCAATCAAGGTGAACTGCGAAATGTGGATGTTTCTCAATTCACTTAAATGTACCCTGTGGAGTTTTTGAGCCGGAGTGTCACCATAAAGATTTTATTTAAAAATGTGTCTACTTCTGGTTTGTGTTGTGCAAGTGCACAGTATCACGAGTACACATGGGTGCACACTGGCAATTTAGTTCAGACCTACTGACCAATTAAGTTTTGGAGCAGGCAAAACAATAAAAGACAAAAAGAAGAAAAAGACCGAGAATAAATTGAAAGCTACATACAAACAGATAATACTTGGAAATAAACACCCACTTGAATTGTGTTGGTTTACAAGAAAACTCCACAGGGCATCACAATGAGATAAGCAAGAGAAAACTAGTAGGTGTTGATAGTCAGCCCTGATTGTATTTTAATGTCAAATGTCAGTTTATGACTCATTTATTTCAACCACAGTCATACTCACATATTACAAGCCCTACAGATAAATGCAAACAAGGTTAAATGTTTGACCCAGTTTTTGCTCCAAGGTGTGTGATTGGCTGGGAGAGGCAGGTAGGTGTGTGCTAGGCGGTCCCTGGCGCTTGACGGAACCATGTGATGTTACAGTAGGCGGGGCCACATGGTTAGATCAAGCACAAGAGACAGCTGCACAAGAACCAATCAAAATGCAGGTCCACACAGGAGGAAGTTGGGGCAACAGAGAGCTGCACCAATCAGTCAGGGGGCAGGGTCCATACTGGACAGGAGAGGCAACAGACAGCCGCAGATCCACACAGGGAGGGTGGCAGGATCAGAGCACTGCCCACCAATAGCAAGAATATCCACAAAGGTCCAGAGAGGAAGAGGAGATGCAGGGAGAGGAATGGGACTGCAGAGAGGAAGGGCCAAAGCAAAGACGACAGCCATAACCAAGTTTAGGGGAATTTGTAATCTGGTTATCTTGATTATTATCTACCTCAATGGGCAGAGCACAAACATTAAGAGATTGAATACCACTGAGATATTAAGCTAAAAATATAGGATGTGTGCCCACGCCACCACAAGCACTTTGGATAAAACCTCTTGCCATTTAATGGTATTGGTTATGCTGTTAATGGTGTGTCCATTTGATCCTGGGAACACACCATTTCACAGAGCAGAAGGGGTGACTATGTTATGTCAAAAAATATCCACTCTTCCAGGCAGACTTTTTATGGCACATTGACAGATGCTGTGATGGTTGCAGTAAAAACAATCATTCTGGTGCTTAAAAAGTTGCTTTTGATCAACTTTTTCAGCTCTTCTGCAAATTTGAGGTTTTAGATATAAAACAAAGCATTAATAATAGGGTGTCGCCCTTGATAACAAGACGCTGGTCTGCTAGAAAAAGCAAAGGAGATTCTCACTACAGTGTGTATGCTTTACTTATACTGTCTAAATTGGTGATTTGCCTAAAACCAGTTTGACACAACAGAGCTTCAAGGATTATAATTTTCCAGTACTAGTATTTATGACAGGAACAAACAGTGTGGAAAAAGCCACTACAGATAAGCAGTTTTGATGTTTAGTGTAGCCACACACAGCTAGATAGACACACACACATAATTTCGTTCACACAAGTGAGCAATCACAGTCTGTGGATAGTCCCTGCTGAGTTAGTTATTGTGCTGCGTCATACTGAATTGGTTTGTGTTGTAATTAGTGAAACCCATGGCTCCTATCAAAGGAAATAAGAGCAAGACAACACTACCACAGAGACAAGAACTGTGGGTGTGTGTCTGTTTAGTAGTTGTTTTCGGTTTTTATTTATGCACTTTTAATACTTCATATATTTGTAATGCTTCAATTGTGAAATGTGACATTTCAAGTATAACCTGATTGATTTACATCTGTTTTTCAGGCATGCTTACCTGCATTTTTTCTTTAGCTGTGTGCTCTGCTTGGATAGATTCTCTTTACATATATACAACTAAAATCTGGGGGAATCCATAGCTAGGTTTGCAAAACAATTTTGTGTATACATTTTGGATACATGATTGGCTTGTATATCAGTGTAAAGTCATCTCCTACCTGTGCACCTGAACTTCTTTCCCTTCACCTGGCTTATTCGTTTGTTAGCCAGCCTTCTGGGGTGGCTGCAGCGTGCTCCGCTTGTCTCAATTGGGTTGTCAAACAGGTAGTCTGCCAGCCACTTCAGGTGACAGTCACACATAAAGGGATTCTGGGCCAGATGACTGAAAAAGAAAAAGGACCAAGGACAGAGTGGAAGCTTGATTTGTAGAAAAAAGAATCTCAAGCTTACTACAGTTGCCTGAGATTTCGGGTTTGGATAAATATACTGAATACTGTCTTCTACAGAAAAATTACAATTCAACTCATCATTTGTTGCATTTCTTTTCCCATCCAAAGGCACATGTTTTCCAAGAGAGCTACTCTTGCATTAAGTGAGTTATTTTACGTTTCAAGCAGCTGAGAGCGTTATGAGAAGAATTTTATAGCTATCATTAACACTAATAACCTTCATTAATTAACCAACAGAAGACCATAGATACTTAATGAAGGCCCAGTTTTCTAAATAGATTTTTTTCAATTATCATCTCTATACATCTTTTCGTTCAGTCACAGTAGGGGAAACAGTGGTTGGAGATCATAGAACGACCAAAGTTATCAGCAATCGTGTGCTGATAACAGGAAACAATTGCAAGTAGTTGCAGCAGTTTCCTGAATACGAACAAATTCAGTGCAATCAGCAGACAACTGTCGATTCTTTCTAGTCAAGTAGGTTACTGCCCTGTTTTTACTTTTGCGGTGTCAACTAACCGGTGAAAATGTTATTCTTAAGTCTAAACTGATATTAGATGAGAAACGACAGATGTTGCAGTAAAAACCCTTGGTGAAAAAGCGGCTGGCTATTTCAGAAGCCCAGTGTACTGAGAATGTATTTCTGATGTAAAAATGAAAAATCACATATCAAAACACTTGCCAGCGTATCAGTCCAATCTAGGTGCAGCAATTTCCAGCAACTTTCGCCAGCTATTCCTCTGGGATCTTAAGGCATTCCCAGGGCTGAAGGGACATATAATCCCTCCTGTATAATCTGCATCGGCCCTGCTGTCTCCTCCATCTGAACATGCATGGAATATCTCACTAGTAAGGCATCTAAGCAGTCTATTGTCAATTCATTTATGTCAGCATATTAATTATTGATTCAACTGATAGCAGCAGCTCTATTTAAGACACCAAAATGATGTAAAACAACATATATGAACTTACAGAGTCTTGATAGAGCGCAGAGGGGTGAACAGTCCTTTACTGATGGTTTGCAGCTTGTTGTCATATAATGACAGGAGATTGAGGTTCTGTAGGTCTTGAAAGGTGTTGACTCTCAAACAGTTAATTTTGTTGGCATTGAGCAATCTGAAATGCAAAGAAGAGCCATTAACATTTGCTATTCATCTGCCTCTGTTTTGTTTATTTGGCGGTATTATCTGTGCTCAAGACAAACAAAAGATAAACGCACACATCGATAATGAGAATTCATTTTTCTCAGATGCATCTCAAATGCAAAACCACTATTTTCCTCTCCTGTCATCTACTCACTATTTCATCCTCTGTCCCTTACCAAACTCACCCCTCCCTTCCCTACATACTCATGATTATACTTTTTCTCGATGTGACACATAAATTTGAAAATTGCAGTTTTATACTTTCTCTTCTGGAGCAGGAGGGGAATATCCACCGTTGGGTGTGTGAGTGTAATACCTTGTTTTGATGGGAGAGACAGATGGTGAAAGGAGGGAAAGGCAGGAGGAAGAATGGATACAGGGTGGTGGAAATAATGGAGTGAGACAGTGAAGGGACAGGTGAAAATTTAATTTGGACTGACACAGATATATATATTTAAGCGAACGTGGCTGACAAGCAAAATGGAGGAGAGAGGCAATGGGAAATGAGAAAAGTGATAGAAGGATTAAGTAAATGACAGAAAAGTTTTCACCTCTACCTTCTCTCCATCTTGCTGTCTTTTCATATCTACACGTCATTAGCTGATATTTCCAAGTTGTCAGCTTTTCCCTGTATTTCCACCTTTCCTCTTTTCTTGCTTCGGGTCTGTCTCAGTCTCCACTTTTCCTCTTCTTTCACCCTCCCCACCTCTTGTCTTTTGTTACATTCTTTTTTCTCTGTCACACACTAAACAGTCTACTTTTTCCCTTTCTTTCTCTGACAGGTAACTAACTTGGTGCTTGGTAAGGCAGTTCATTCTCAAACCACTCTAACGAGTGCCTGTACTGGCACATCTAATTTATGCATATACACACACACATACACACTCGCAGGTGATACATGCACACGTGCTGCTCTGCGACATATCCACGCCTCATTAGGCGGCTCACAGGGGGAACTAATTACTTGAAACCGCACCAGTAAAACAAAGCAGCCCAGAGATTGTAAACAGACCAGTAGCTATATAAAGCAATAAACACATCTTTGCAGTCATAGGTTAACATGATGCTCTATTCTATTCAAGAGTGAAAGCTGAATGTAATTTATAATTATTACACTATGTGAGTGAATCTTGACAAACTGACTGCCTTCAGAGACATGAGAGGTTTTTGTGTCAGTGGTGAAATATTAAAAGGCATTTCTTCCATTCACCTGCTGAGTGAGTGCTAGAATGTTTCAATACGTGAGTATTAGCTAATCATTCAGTTTGTTATACACATGCACAACAATGGGACTGAATCATCCTGTAAATGGACAATGCATACATGCATGAAGAAATATAAGGAAATGCTCTTTCCAATTTGAGTTGTTCATTGATAACAGTGTCACATACTGGTTGACACAAAAAGCACAAATTTGATCTCCCAGTAGTTATTTCTGCTCTTCTAATATTTCCTGCATGTATACATTTGTTCATATCTGTCTTCTTTCCAATGTCTACGTCAGTTTCACTCCTCATCCAGCCATCCATTAATTTATCTATCCATCCACATCTGCCCACCCCCTTTCCCTCTCTCTTTCTCTCTTACTATGCACCATGCATCCAAATGATCCACCTAAGCCTGTAAAAGGTGTTTGTGGGTTAGGCTCACTCGTCCTCATTCTCTTTGCTTCGCTTCACTTTACGATGGAAAAGCCCAGAACATTAGCTGTTTCTGCAGTGGACTGCGGCATTTCCGAGGACCATATGCCACATACAGTACTTATGTAGCTGTTATAGAATTTTTTACTGCATGTTGAACCAGCAGCTGCAGTTTGAATCTGTGCCCATGAGGAATTATTCAGAATTAATAGTTTCCCCCCTACAATACGTAAGATAACAAGAACTGTGGGAGATTACAGTTCGTATTGCAGCACACCAATTTATTTGTTTCATACTTAGCATTTTATACTGACATACACAGATAAATGACAGTTCAAAGGTTAATCGTGGAAGACAACATTCCATAGTAGCTGTTACTGCACAATAGTGAATAACATCAACCCATACCATTGGCCTTAGCTGTGATAATTGTCCAGAGGTGGATACGGACTGCTGATGCCAAATTAGTAAATCACCATAACCAGGGAAAATTAAGTACACTTCATATAAATGTAGTAATTTCTGCCTATTATGCTCCACTGAAACCAATTAATGCCAATTGGAATTGCAAAAAAAAAAAAAAAAATGCAGTTCCACAGATGGCCACTTCAGAAGTATGTCAACCTGAAGTGACAAACTCTGGGACCAAAACACAGCAGTTCTCCTAAAGGCCACCTGATGCTGGCGTCAAGAGCACCAATACCTGCAGACTGCTGTGGTTTTATAATGCATCCTGGAGGTGTTCCAATAATGCTTACAGTTAGAAGCATTGCCTCTTTAATTGCCAGGTGTGCTAAACTCGCTGTAGCAAACTACTGCTGTATTCTAGGCCTGATAATTCAAATCACTGAACTGGACCCCTCATTCATGTTGGTGCATTTTGGAGTATTTTTAATTGAGTTGTCTTTTAAATTGACTGGCTGCACAGGGCTATAATGGACCTCCTTATTTATTTTTTTATAGTTTAGTTGGCCAAATATTGTCATGTTTGGCTTCAAACAATAAAAAAAGAAAAGTAAAATCAGACATTTTACATGTTTACTGGTTGATATTTAGTAAAAGAAACTGAAGCTGTTTGAACATTTGGCTCAAACTGTATACAATGTTTCCTCAGTAGTTCATTCTTTATTGGGGTGTTATTATGATTTCGTATTTTTATTATTTTATATACTGCCCAGTGTATTTTTTGGATACCACACACATGCATCCAGCCACACACAGAACAACAGACCAGACAGACGATACTTACAGTAGCTGCAGGGAAACCAGTCCATCAAATATTCCCTTGGGCAGTTCGGTGATCTTATTGCCATATAGTACCCTGAAATGGACAAATTACATGACTTTAAAGCCTTGAGACTTATGTGATGTGAAGTCCGACGTGTGGCCTAATAAAATATTTGTATTGGTCCTCCAGAGTTTCCCTGCTGATTCTCTTATTTTGAGAACATTCTGGGAGTTTTGGTGATGCTACTGAAAGAAGATATCCTGTACACATTTCTGAGACACATCACCCTAAGTCCAATTTTTAAATAGCTTATATTTTTCACTGTGTTAATGTTGTTGATCAATGGAGAGCTATAGATTTTTGGTCTTTGTTTAAGTTAAGAATTGAAAAATTGTTTCAGCCAGTAACAGAAAAGAACACTTAGTCTACCTGAAAACATCTAAATAATAAAATCTGCAGATACACTCGATTCGCCAACTACTTGAAATGACACTGTAAACTAAAATACCCTCATTGTTATTATTGTATTTCTTAGCCTGACCCATCTTCCATTAAATTACAACTATTCAGCTCTCCAAAAGGCAAGAAAGACGCTCAGTGCATCTCCTAGGAATGAAAAAGTCATCATGTTCACTCAACTGGAAAAACTATTTTAGTTGGAAGAACTGAAATTGTGTTGCAATCAAAGACAAAAAGCTGTCTGTTTCCAGTGGAAACCATTTTTTTAAACTTCTGTCAGATGAAAACATGGACATCACAGTCACGTTGAAACTAAGGCTTTTCTCACTATGCATACTGCTTTTTACAATTGATCTCATTTATTAGTCAAAGACCGAAATTAGGTTTGAGATGTGCTTCCAGTTGCAGTTGCATAATTTAAGTCACTGGAACAGTTGTATGTGTTGTAACCTTGTGCTTGAGCAGGACTCCAGTGCAGAGGTTTAGCCTCCCAGTGACATTCCTGCGTATGTGTGTGTAAGTGCGTGTGCTTGTTTGTGCATATACATGTTCAGTCGTAACACCCAGTAGGGTTCACCTTGTCTGCCCCTTCTTGTCTGTCTCATTTTCATGCTCCAGATTGATTCAAATTAAACTGTCCTTCATGTTCTTATCACTTTCACCCTCAGAGACAGACACACACAGACATAGTGAGTGATCACAGACATGCACAATTGCATACACAACAACATATTCACAGATGCACGTACAGAACATACACACATTCGGCTGCACTGTGTTCCCCTTGTCAGCATCAACTGTGACAACATTTTTATTTGCTTAATGTCTGGAAATGCAATTACTTTTCTGTCTGGATGTGTGTTTGTGTACATGTCTGTGTCCGTTTACATGCACATGTGTCATACTTACAATGAGGTGAGTGAGCGAAGGCCACTGAAAGCATCGGCAGCAATGTCAGAAATCTGGTTCTTACTCAAGTCACTGGGGAGAAAGAGTGGGAGAGTGTGTGTGTGTGTGAGATTACTCTAATACACAGCAATGGGGTTCATTTTTGTGCGAATGTCCTAGAACTGTATGAAAAATGATTATGTGAGAGTACATCAGCAGAGGTCATGGCACGGGGACAAGAGTAAGAAAGAGGGGACTGAATATATAAGTAAATGAGGGCAAGTGAGAAAATGGAAGCAGTGACATGTTAAGTGCAGTTCATGTCAGTCAGTTTTGACTGTTGTAAGATATATTGTTAAACACTGCTGCTGAGGAGAGGTTAACACTGTGAGCAGGCGGGTGAATAACCTTGTAACCTTGCACGTGTTTAGCATTTTCGGGCATCTGCATGATAACAACTTTTCCACTATTAATCTTTATATCTGTATGACTGTGTACATAGTATATTAGTTATTAGTTATATTAGTTTCTGTCATAATTTGGTAAGATGATGGTTGAGGAAAAACCTCAATCATAGGTCCTTATAGTGAGGTATAATGATTCTGGTATTTCTTAATCTTACTTGAAAATCTAGTAGTGGGCTTTTTAAAGCTTTTTAAAGCCTTTGTGTACATATGCAATTTTTCAGTGGTTAATTGGCCTTTTTTATATCTATTTACAACACTTATACCATTCAGTCATGGCATAATAACACTAAGATTAGCAATCATAAAAAATATCTTAGAAAGAAGACATTTGTTTAGAATGTAGTTTGCCTAAAACTTGTTTAATATATTGAACATTATTATTTAATACTTGTGTGTATTTGCATGTGTTTAGATGTATGCAGGTCGTTCCAGACAGACTCACATCCTCTTGAGTTTCTTGTAGGCAGAAAAGGCTCCAGCAGGGACACTTTTAATCAAGTTCTGCTCCAGACGACTGTAGAGAGAGAGAGGAACAGAGACAGGAATAAAAATAGAGAAATGGAGAAGATATTTAAACTTTTTAATTACTGAAAAGATCATTTACGTCAACATAAAAAGAAACATTAAATTATGAATTTCCAATACATATATATCAACTGGACACAGTAAGCTCGTTTTTTCTACTTCCAAGGTTATAATAAAGTCCTGTTTAGCCGCCACCAAAGCCAAACGCAAGTGCACAAAAAGTTCAAAAGGTGGCTGTTCCAATCAACATCTACAAAATATTTCTGCAGGTGAGTCAGTGCTTTATAGCAGATGCGGGCCAAGGTCGCTCAGTGTGAAATGTTGTCTTGAGTTTTGCAGCTCAGCAGTAATGTGTTTACATAGAGTCATTCTGATGTGAGTGTAGAAGAAGAAAAAGGCTCTGATGAAAATCTGGACTACTGACAACAAAACTTGTACTTCTAATGAAATTAAGGCCAAAGGGGCAGTATGTAATGAGATATGATGAATGGGAACTGAAACATTAAAATGAATGTTAATAGGTTTTTCTACAAACTGTCCATGAACAGTTTTAAAGCAGTTACATGTACAGAATAATCTTTTCAAATATAGTTTAAATTTGAATCTCCAATAGATTCCTCGATCATTCTCCTCTGTAAATGCAACGCCACTGTCTTTACAAACAGACTGAAAATTTCTCAGCTTTTTCAAAAGGACCAAAGGGAACTCCATCATTTTTTCTGGAAGGCTGCAGACCTATTAGATCATACTGGTAGTAATACTCTATTATCACATAGGGAGCCATCAAAACTAGGCACACAGCCGACATTTGGGAAAATTTACTACAGTTTAGCTTCTGCTCTCCTGATGGTCAAGGAAACCCATTCAACTGTTCATGTATTCTTCATGTCTCCATGGTGTTGTGATGACAAGGAGGGAAAAATGAACACACAAAAAAAATTAATTACTGTTTTATTAAAATGAGTATTTAATAAAAAGTCACAGGAGTAAGATAGAAAATGAGTCAAAAAATTGTGGACAAAAGAGAGAAGACAAAAGGCGAAAGGGAAAATCATAGGAGAGGAGTGGGAAAGGAGGGCAATAAAAAGGAAATCAGAGGAGTGGAAAAGTGGAGACAACAGGGGAGAGGAGAGGGAAAATCAGGAGAAAAGAGGAGGATGCAGCGAGGTCCCAAGGCCATCCACAGGGTCAGCTGTCAGGATGATAAATGGAAACTAATCCACCCTTCTTCTTCTTCTTTTCATCCTTCTCTTCAGCCTCCCACCCAGTCATCCTCCTTACTTTAACTCACCATCCCACTCTTTCTTCCCTGATGGCAATTGTATCTGTGCATCATGTTTAAAATCACTGTTTTGAGCCACTGTAGTCAATTCAGAGTTCTAAATAACAAATTATAGTATGGACTCAAAGACTCATTTTATGTGGATAAACTTTATCTTAGTGTGCCAATTTGTGACCGCTGTGTTTTATGAAAACGGACGTTGTCCTGACTTTGAATGCAGCGCAGGTCTTACACTACAGATGCCTGTTTCTTGGCTTGTGTTGCCCTTTAGATTTCATCACTTCACTCCCTGGCAGCCAACAGCACTTTATTTCAACTCAGGGGTCAAAATAAATCAATGTATGGATACTGACAAAGACAATCTGCACACACAACAAGTTACAAATTACACGTAGGGGTAGCTAAACAAGCCTTAGACAAAGACACTTAGAGGCTCAATATCAAAGGATGTATTAAAAAAATAGACATTTTAAAAAGCTATATAAAAAAATCTATAAGGTTAGGAGGCAATTAAACAACAACAGGAACAGGAGATGAGTTTGGCAGGTTAGCCAGTGTGTTAACAATGGGCTGATTGTGCACGTATACAGAGATGTAGAAAAGAGCACAGACATTAACGTCTGTTGGAGTCAGATATTTGTTGAGGCAAACATGACAATAAAAATTATATTGGTTTTATATTTAACTTGAAAAGTTATGTTAAGATATTTAAAGTGTAGAGTTATACAATGACTCTAAAAGGATCCAGACATGTAGCAGTGATCCTTGGCACTGCCATTCAGAAGGATGACTTTGTCTCCATTAAAGGAATGACAATACATCATCCTATTATACTCTATTGTTTCGTGCTGCAGCAGCAACATTCATTATCACAGATCCAATGCTAATGCTGTGCATGTGTGTGTGTGCGTGTATGTCTGTCTGTGTGTGCATGCCCTGGAGATTTTATAAGGTGTTGTTGTACTTATGGCTCAATCCAAAAACATACCTGTATGTGTGTTTTTTGTTTTGTTTTTTTCAAAGTACAGACTTTATTTGTGCAAACAAAACTACTGTGTCTGCATATGTGTGGGTTGGTGTGTGCGTGACTTTGTGAGAATCTATTACTTATGCTGGGGAGGTATAACGGTATTGGTGTGCAGTTGCGGGCAAGAATTGCTCCTTTACTCACAGAGCAATCAACCAGCTGTCCTCTGTGCAAACAAACAGGGTACAGCGATCAATACGGATATCAAACGCGTCCCCCTGTGGCGCGTGTGTGTGTGTTTAAATCGGTGTGTAAAAGAAAGGAAGAGCGTGAGAGAAAGACGAGGAAAAGTGTGGAGCTTAGGTGTAGTCTAAAACAAAATATCACAGCAAAACTCACAATGTGCCACAGCTGGGGATAGATTGGAGGCCTAATTTATCGTTTTATATCTTATAATGCTCAAAAGAGTTGGTGTAAACTTTTACACGTACGTAAACATGACCAAATCACTGGTATGTGGCTAGAATGCAATTTCCAAAACACCCAGTAAAAGTGTAGAAATATTGAGACATATACATACATGTCCAGGAAACGCACGTTATCCCCATCTGCAATAGAATGAACCCACGATACAAGACACATATACATATGAATTTGCAGAATTAGCAAGTAAAGCAGTCTTACATCTCCACAATGCCTTCAGGGAGGTTTACTGGAATTTCAGTAAGGCCTTTACGACGACAGTCCACTATGTTGTTGTTACAGCTGCAGCTGGGTGGGCAAACGGTTACCTGAGGAGCACAAGTCCTGGACTCGGTCTGGGCTGGACCTGTAGAAAGCAATATACAGATATGAGATTGGTTTCTTTATTTTTTGTTTTTTTAATTTGCAATTACAATCAACCAAATATGAGGATGAAAAAAAGCTGATGCTGTTGTTTGGTTTCTAAAGCAACTGCACTACATTCTTCACAAGATGCTATCTTTTGAGATGAAACGGGATTGTTCGCTAAACATTACCTGGCCAAGATATGCCTACCTAATATCGCTAGAGTAAGCAGGAATACAGGATAGACATACAGAGAAGAGAAAGGGAAAGCAGGTAAATGGTGAAAAGTGGAAAGATGGGATAAAAATAGTGAACAAATAAAAAAAGAGAAAGAGCGGTCTCTTATTGACAGTAAGTGAGGAGAATGGAGAAAAGTGCAATGAGAGGTGCTTTTCTGTGTAGCTTGTAGGCAGAAAAAAATGAGACTTAAGGCTAATAAAGAGAGCGCAGCCTGGCAGTCTATTAGCGCAGAAAGCTGAATCAGAAGCCTGTAAACATTGCCTGTGCTATCTGCAGCTGATAACACTACTGCTCTTACTGTGGCTTTTTAGCTGATTACACGCTCTACATGCTGTAATTCTGTCAGTGTAATAAACTCAATGCTGAGCTGTCTGGAGACGATAACAACCCTGCGTATAATACCGCCTTTAGTTTTACTATATTCTCTATATTGTATACCTCAACAGCACAGAGTCAGCTGCCAACAGCTCTACAGTGAACACTGGCTCATTTCTAAATTATGTACTACCCATGCATCACTCTTCCTCAAAAATTCAGGTTAACTTCATGAGATGAATGCTATATTTATGCATCAGTATGATGTAACTGCAGCCGAGCAAAGAGAAGGACCCAAAAGTGTTTTATTTCAGTGTCAATGAAAATAGACTAACCACCATTAAAAATAGTGATATCTGAGTGTAAAGATCTGTCGCTGAAGCACTGTGTGTAAATTTGTTGTTGTCAACTCACCATTGCAGACAAAATCTTTCTTCTGCACATCTGGGACGTTGAGGCCCCTCATGTGGGCAGGGGCCATGCACTGGGTGAAGGGAGCCAAGCCCCGCCTGGCTCTGAGCCAATCAGAGAGCCAGGACAACTGACAGTCACAGTGGAGGTTGTTGGAGTGCAGACGGCTGAAGTGAGATGGAGGAAAGAAAGGATGATAGATTTTTGTGTTTAAATACGATTATTATCCAATCCAAAATAATATTTGTGACTGGAAAAGAAATTCTTAACAACTCTGGGTACAACAGGTCAGAAGAACACATCACTAAGAGCGTTTGAGTCTGCATTCGAATAGAACAGACTGAATTTTTTGTTTTTACACATCTTTGCCAAGGATCTTAAGGCTACTTTTTAGCTGAAACATGACAACACATACTCTCAGAGTCCTTTAGTCAACCCTCATTTCTCCAAGGTCTGTGAGAATATGACTCCCTCTAGAGTGATGGAACACAACACTAAATCACAATTTCTTTAGAAACAAAAAAAATCCCTAAAACACAAAATAAGGAATTACAAAAGAAAGACAGAGACAGATCTTTAAAAAAATGAAGAAATTTAATTTGGTCAGATGGGAAACAGACCAAAAACAGGCCAAGCAATAATTAGAAACTATGAGTGCACAACAAGAGCAAGAGTGAAAATCACAAAATACATCTAAGGGTGGGGTAGGGGGGAAGGGGGGCAATTAGAAAAAGATCCTACTTATTAATATGGCCTTATTTGGTTGTTTTGGCTTGTTTTATTGCCCAGAATGACAAAATGTGATTAACATGAACATGCCCTTTACAGAGGTGATTGATCTTAAAGAGCCTGGAATAAAGTCTTTTAGCAGCTATCTGGTTTTGGTGATGTTTTTGTGATGTTTTTGAGACGGCATTTAAAATATGTTTTTGTTTTTATTTTTGTAAAATCAGTGGCAACTTATTTTATGTAGCTATAATCAAAATGCTTTTGTTGTTGGGAATTGACAGAAGACATATACCAATTAGCCATATTCCCAAAAAAATACATAATGATGTTAAATGCAAAATTCTGTTGGGAAACCTTGACCCTCAATCTGATCGTGCATCAATGGTAAATTGACCTGGACCCTACTTCATAACCCACGAGACCCCAGAGGTCTTTTGCTCTAGTGACCTAGTGGGTAACAGCTATACTGCAGAGGAAATGTTGTGGCTGGCTGCTTATCATAACGACTATTCAACTGACCTTTACACTTAAGATAAGTAGAATTGTTATCAGGTGACAACATTGAGAATTGATTTCAAGTGATATTTAATGCATTTAAATTATTTAAGGAAACTTGTCACTCTAATAGGCTTTTTAAAATTCACTTGTAGCATTAATTAAAAGGTTCTGCTCTCTATAGAAAGCATCAGGTGTTGTTTCACGGAGCTCACTCTCTACAGGCTGCACTGGCTGGACTGTATTGGCACCTCGAGAGAGAGAGAGTGAGCGAGAGATGAGGAGGAGGAGGAGAAGGGTGGATGAACAGCAGAATGTCTTGTCAGCGTATTATATGCCAGCCGGGATATCTGGCCTTTCAGAAGACAGGCCTCCTTTTGTAATAAAGCAGAGGACAAATCCTGTTATGGAACAGAGATGGTCTCATTGATGCTAGCAGCGGGGGCAGTGGGTTTTAATACCGCTCTCCCATTATAAATCCAGTTTATAGTTGCACCCCTGCCTGGAGATAGCCACGTCCTGGCCCACCTCCGGCTCAGCCTTAATTACTGACAAGTAGGATTAAAACACAGGGGAGAATGGGAACAGGCAGGGGGTATAGAGAGCTGTGTTTATGTGTGTGTGGACTGTTGTTTGTGTATAGCTTAAAGTCAGTTTGAATGCATCTGTTGATGTTGTTGGTTGCAAGTGACTAGAGGCATTGTGCAAGCTGGTTAGGTAAATGAATGTGTGTCTATATATATGTGTGTTTATTCTTAGAGTCATGCTGGGGGGTTACTGGACACATCTTGAGAACAGTTGTGCCCCAAATAACACCCACACAGTAAAGTAGCAGTAGGAGTTCTGATCTTTCCACTGGGTCAAGTTTATGAATGAAAGACACCATGATGTGATACCATTACTACTAATAGGCTACACGGACACTGAAGAAAAAGAGAAAGAAATATGGATTATAGCTTCAGGGAAGGTGAACCACTTTTTCCTCAAAGAAGTTTTTACGCACACAAACACATACACGCACTTCTAGAACTTCTCTGCTAATCATATCAGGGACATCTCTAAAGATTTGATTGAATGAGTCGTTTTTATAAAGGCATCAAATTCAATACTGAGATCTGAGAGTGGCAAAAGAGAACGGTTAAAAAATTTAATAGAGAGAAAGATGCAAGACGGGGGGGAAAAGCAGAGGGGGATGGTTACTGGACGTAAAGGAGATGTGGTAGAGAGGTAGGGGACTAACATGAGGCATAGAAAGAAAGGGAGGGGTAGGAAAAATACAAGACGAGAAGAGTAACAGAATAAGACAAGTGCGGAAAAAAAAAGATTGAAAGGACAGAGGAAGCAATAAAATGATCCAGACTATACCAGGAAGGAGAAAACCAATGGAGATAATGAGGCGAGTAAAGACATTTTAGAGAAAAATGAAGGGAAGAAAGTGATTAAAAAAAAGCTGAGACATACTGTAGAAGATCGGAGGAAGATGGGACAAATATGAAGCAGAAACAGGGAAGAGGAAGAACGTGGAAATCAGAGGAGACAGTCACTCATTGTTGACAGAAAACAGAAGCGGACGAGGGTCTCTGATTAAAAGATATTGGATATTGGTAACTCTGTACTCAATCTGCTGGCAACTGTGTAGCTGTGCTGCTGCCTGAAATCCAATTTTAAAAGCCTGATTTCAAGCTGTATTGCCACTAGAGTTGCAGCAGCATGCAAGAAAAATGGAAACCCCGCTATGTGATTGGCTATTGATGGCTGTTGTCGGTCAAAAGTTGAAGCACAAAAATGGCTGTGAAAGATAAATGGATCTGTGTAAATGTTATCCTGCTTGTATTTAGCTGGGTCTTATGTTTAAAAATCCCCATTTCAAAATGTTAAGTAGAGCGGTGTGACCACACAAGAGCCTCTCAGAAAATGATGATTCGGGGAGGAAATCCCATTTGGTGCATGCCATGGTTTGGCAGAATTCAACCCCAGTGTGGCCAGAAGGAATGCAACCCACGGTCTGTCTCACAGAAAGTCCCACGAGATTACGATTAGAGACTCCCTCGAGATGTTGTGCCATCACCTTGGCAACTGAAAGATCTCTTTCACACAACTAAGCAGAAAATGCACACATACACACAAACAAATCAAAGCCCCCTTTAAATCAGTCAGAGATGATAATTTGGCTTGGGTTCATCTTGGACCACAATAGTGTGTTTGTATGTGTGTGTGTTCACATCAGTAACATCAGTAAAGGAGGTTTCTTTTAATGAATCAAAGCAGATTGAACTATAGAGCCTAAACAAGTCTTTCTTGTGGCATTAATGAGGTTACCATTACTCAAGCGTGCATGTGTGTGTCTGTGTGGTACATGCAGATATTTGTATTCATCTCTGTGTATTTGTCTGAAAGTCTTTATGTGCCTGTGTGTACGTAATGGCCACATGATTATTCACAGTCATGAAACAATAGAAGAGTCAGTCTCTTATTATGGCAAGATTAGCCAATCACACACTCTGCCTCCATCCTTTATATGTGTGCATTTTATTATGTGGTATGAGTATGGAACTATGCATCACCTATGTAGTGGTCCGTTGTGAGTTGAGTCATGTGTACAAGGTGTGTATTAATGTGTAATAAAACAGTAACAGAGTCCTTGTGTATCAGTGTCTAGAGTATATGTTTGAAGATTTCTTTTTGTGCTTGATTGTGCATGTCAGAGTGTGTAATACTCACAGTGTCCGCAGCTTTGGCATGTGGTTGAAGCTGGATAGTGGGATGAGGGTGATGTTGTTGTTGTTGAGAGTGCTGGACACACAAAAACAGAGGGACGGGAAATCAGAGATGCAGTTTTTTTTACCAAAAGCCAATCTTGGTGCAACTCACTGGCCTTAAAATCGTCAGAATATATTTCATTGAAATAGAAGGTTTAAATCCCTGTCATAGTCACTTTATTGTTAGTTCTGCAATATGTAAGCGACATACACAGGATCAAAATATTGTTTCCCCTGGACTCAGAAGAATGAATAAAAAATAAAAATAACATAGCTACAAAAATATGTGATACAGGTATTAAAATAAAGAAGTATCACAGTGTCAATACTCCCACTACTTCTCAAAAAATTAATAAATGATAGGGGACACAGGTGGGGATGGGTATCGAAACCAGGTTCTTGTTGAGAACCGGTTCCCACTGTTTCAATTCCTTGGAGTTGTTTGCCATTTTTACAAACGATTCCCTTATCGACTCCAGTCGCCACGAATGACGTCACCACGTTGCGGAGCGTCATTTACCTGGCAGGAAACACGGTTATAAGTTTGGTTATACTTTACGAGAACAGATGACAACAGGGCAACTTGCAATACTTGCAAAGTAGATATTTCATTTAAGGGAGGAAACACTACGAATATGCAAAAGCATTTGCTCACAAAAGACACGATGACCTTAAATGAATGTCGTGTTTTTAATTCCGCTCCGGACTCGTGAATCTCAACCCAGCAGCAGCTGTAACGTTTGCACGTCCTCTCCCGTTAATGCGACAGGTAAATAATCAACTAACAGTGCATACTATGTTAGCGCGATCTGCCTTATTACAAAACCTGCCATTACTGTGCATTTAGGTGACCATGATGAGACAGACAGACAGAGTCTGGCTCAGATGCTGGCAGTTCTCGCTGCAGTCTTAGCGTCTCCTTTCAGGCCAGGATAGACGAATGTCACCGAGCAGTGACTCAGTTTGTGGTCAAAGGCTTGCACCCATTTGCCACAGCAGATGCCCCCGACATGCGGTAAGTGAATGTGTTTAATTGTAGGCAGGGACATTACTGGATATTCTTGTGTAATTGCTACAGAATAATTTATGTTATACTTTGTTATTGCTACAGAAGAATATTTATTTTATTATTTTACATTTACAATTTTTTTCCTGGGGACCCTGTGACACCCCATTGAAGAGCCATAGGCTGGATCTCTTAAGAAGAAGAAGAAAGAAGAAAGTGTGTACTTTATTGTACTTTATTGAGCCCCGTGGGGAAATTGCTCTCTGCATTTAACCCATTCACTCAGTGAAGCAGTGGGCAGCCATTGGGCGCCCGGGGAGCAGTGTGTTAAGATCTCACTGTTGGGTTTGTAAGGCCATGTTACTCCTAAATTTCTATCTTGTTCAAAGAGAAGATATAAAACAAAGTTCTAAGCTAATCAATCTTAGTGTTCTCCTTTTTAAAAAGAATCGATAAGAGAATCAATAAAGACTCGAATCGTTAAACAGAATCGAAAATGGAATCGGAATTGTGCAAATCTTATCAACACCCATCCCTAGACACAGGTTTCAAACAGGTTTCAGAGCTGTGAATCGAGAACCCTGAAAAGATTCAAAGTACATCTGAGGAGTTCCAATAAAGAATAAAGAGTTCTTCCAAAAAGCAGCCTATAAGAGGGAAAACAATCTTTGTTGTTCAACTATTATATTTAACCAAACGTTACAGCTCAACATGAGTGAATTATTATATTTACCAAGTATTTGAAATTTAACTCTGAATGGTTGTAAGAATTTACTTCTTCATCCATCTGTTTTCTACCATTTATCAGGGTCCGGGTTGTGGAGGAAGCAGTCTAAGAACACTTGCTGAATTCCTTTTCCCCAGCGACCGCCTCAAGCTCTTATGGGGGAATACTGAGGCATTCCCAAGACAGCTGAAAGATGTAATCTCTCCAGTGTGCTCTGGGTCTGCCCCACTGACTCCCCCAGTTGGACATGCTCAAAACATTTCACCTAGATAACTGAACCACAATGAATTTTGCTAGATATTTAGTCAGTTTACTAAGGAAAAAAACACACACAGGATGGCTTATTGCTCTCAATAAAAGCCATCAATTTCATTTTAAATCTCTTCAAAACAAAATGTTTGAATTTAGACATTTTGATTATGTGCAACGCCATCATATGCATACAGAGCATATACTGTTATTTCATTATTTATTAATACATGTACGTATAAACCCACACTCTTTCTTCAAAGCCTCTTCTCGTATATCTCATAAGCAGGTCACCTCTGTCTCTGCCTATTAGCTGCCTCATATTGTACACTGTGTCTCATATCTAGTATCGACATAAAGCGGAATGAAAAACAAGGCTGACTGTCATTACAGCCAAACACGCACATACACACAGCGTTTATTGATTCTCTGAATTTTTTTTTTTCTGAGGATATGGACAGAAAAATGCAGAAAATACCAGTGATCAATCAGTCTTAATCCTAGAAGGAAAGTACATGTGGTAGGCAGGACATAGATATGTGGCAATTAAAAAAGAAAACTACTGTTGTTGATATTGTGCCACCAGATTAACACTGGTGTGTCCTTCTAATGACTTTATAAGACTGAAACTCTACTAGCAGCAGGTGATCACTCAGAACAATTTTGTACTGATTTGCAGTGATTTTTCCTTCTAAAGGGGACAAGTGAAGCCAAATATGCCAGCAAAATGCCCTCTTAGCGTAACAAAGTGATGAATGTCTTTAATGAGGTTTTAAGGGTTCCGTTTTTCCCTTTTATATGTCCCATTCCATTCATCCATTCGCTTCCGCTTATCCTTTTCAGGGTGGCGGGAGGCGCTGGAGCCTATCCCAGCTGTCATAGGGCGAGAGGCGGGGTACACCCTGGACAGGTCGCCAGTCTGTCGCAGGGCTAACACACAGGGACAGACAACCATTCACACTCACATTCACTCGCACATTCACACCTAGTGGCAATTTGGATTATCCAATTAACCTATCCCCACAAGCTGCATGTCTTTGGACGGTGGGAGGAAGCCGGAGTACCCGGAGGGAACCCACGCAAACACGGGGAGAACATGCAAACTCCACACAGAAAGACCCCGGCCTGATGGTGGAATTGAACTCAGGACCTTCTTGCTGTGCGGCAACAGTGCTAACCACCGTGCCACCGTGCTGCCTTATATGTCACCTTTCTAAAACAACTAAAGCTCTAACTATACTTTCTGTGTCCATGAGTCTTCAAGGGTCGACTTGGGTCCAAGTCAAATTTCGTCACTAGATGGAGAGCACAAGGGATGTTCAGATATCTGCTTGTTTTTCATGACCCAACAAATTTATCCACTAAGAATTTACGTCACAATATACCAATTTCACTTCCCAGATGGCGACTTCAAGTGGACTTGACTTCTCAAGAGCAAGAGCACATAATTAAGCTGTAAATAAGCATCCACAAGTTCATCCAAATTAAAATACATTAAAAGTAGAAGGAAAAGTGGAAGATTTTACTTTTATGTGTTTTTATTTATAAAAATATTATTTTACATTGAATTAAAAACAGATTTTGTACCACTGATTCTATATAATCAAAATAGACAGAAACTTCCAAATGGATGTGGGGAGAACATAAAAAAAAATTATGACCTCCTTCATCAGAACATGCAGGACTGTTCAAATGGCCTGAAGTCAATTTTTCACGGGACAAAGTACACAGTGAAGTCATGAGTTAATGAATGATCCTTGTTACAATAGAATACCCGGGATTTCCAAAATTTATATTACATTATAATTTTTCTGGAGGCTTGTTGAAGCCAACATCCACACAAGCCAGTGCAACCATTTTCTTTGTTTTTTTTCCCCCAAGTTTCATGGATCATTAATTTTACTGGATAGAAAATGGGCCTAGTTTACTTTACATATCACCCGAAACCTTGTGTATTCAAAGAGTCATTGTTTCGAGAAGAATGAAGACTGAGTGGTCATTTTTTTATATCTGAAACCCGTTCATTTTTCATGTTTGACAGTGTGTTTTTAATGCTTTAAGACAAGGATGAGGTCAAATTTCTCTGACAAATGGCCGAATTTCAGGATGAAAGGATTTTTCACAGCATCTGCATTATGTTTATGCTTAAACATACAGTGTCACCCAGGTTTGATTTCAACCACAAAAATCAAGGATGGTTTATTTTACATACTGTACTGTCGTCACTGGTCCAAATAGGTTCATTACAGGGGGGTTTGCTGTGTTTTTACTAACACCCACTCAGCCTTAAAATAGACTGTTTTTGCTTCACTCTGTTGATGTTACTACTTTTCTTTCTCGTTAATTCTTTCTCCTTCCGATTCTCTTTCCACATTCTCCTCCCTGCCAGTATAGCCTCAGTGGCCTTGGTAGACGGATAAAGTTTCACACTCACTCTCAAATACACACACACACACACACACATCGGGAGCACTGCTATGGTCAGCCCTGTCAGGAGTGATTCCACCCAGTATATATAATTTAATTGTGGAATAACAATAATTTCCCCCTGCAATTTCCCTGTCAGTTATTTTCCCACTCACCCTGTTCAGCCCCCTTCACTTCTTTCTGCCTTAATAAAGTAGTGACTGTACTGACTTACGCCAAGGTAAACACTAAATACATCATTTAAAAGTCCATGACTATGTTTTATATTGTGGCCATGTTTCCCAGCGCATTTTACACGCCTTAAGCCACAACTACGCCTGCAAAAGAAAATGAGGTATTCCTTGATTTGAAGGGATCTTAAAAAAAATGCAAAGAGAGGAATTGTGAGACGCTGAGTGATTGTTAGATAAGACATGAAATTATTTTGCTTACTTAAGTTACTTATGTTTGGCCAATGGTTTTGTTGCTTCCAGCTGTTTGAGGGAGGCTTTTCTTTAAGTTTATTAAATAGGTTCAGCTGAATAGGGACACTCTCTCTATATATGAGTTTCTTCAACTTCTATCATAGTGACAATTTCTTTCTTTTTGGAACAGTGCTAACTTCAGTAATATTTCATACATATGA